GAGGGTTAGCTGGAGCCGGAGCCGGAGCAGCTGGAGCTGGAGCTGGAGCGGCGCCCTCGTTGCTTGCCTCGGCACCATGGCTCGCCATGGTCTCAGGTCGGTCTCGCGCCCTCCTTACTCGTTCACAGTGCACCAAAACGGCTGCGGGTACAAACATTCGCTCAACAAAGACCACATGCTGCAATTGCACTGAGAGCACAGCCCTTGCCTCGAGATTGCATGGGTGCTACGGTACCTGGCTGGAGGCCTACCTACACCCCAAGCCGACCCACGCAGGACAAGTGAGCTAACCGAGAAAGAATCTGTTTCCTCAGCCCTAAACGCTCTGGAGGCGCCGCACATTGTGTGGAGAGGGCGCCGTAGGCACCCACGTAAAAAGGCAGGCCCCCGCACCTTGCCGGACGAACCGAACAGGAGAAAGGTGGGTCTTACGCACCTGTCGCAATGCAACCTGGCGTTCTTAGGGCTTTCGGGGCAGAAAAAGCTTCTACACGCTTCCAAGCGGGATTAGGGGTTTAGAGGCCCACCTACACTCCTGTTCGGGCCAGGCAGAGAGGCTCTACAGCACAACGCTCGCTGTTCTGACCCCTGCAGGCTTTTGCCTTTGGCCAGATGCGGCGAGCAATTGAGCAAACTTCAAAAACCAAGACGAACTCTGATTACCAATTACTTTAGATTAGCACCAGAAGTTTGCTCGCTTGCTCTCGTCCGTTTTCGCAATGGCTTCCCTAAACCCACCCCTGCAGACCCCTCCTTCAACCCTGTCCTAAGCCCTCGTTTGCAAATCCTTCCCTAAACCCACCTTGCAGGCCCTCCCCTGCAGATCCTCCCCTAAACCCTCTTGTAGATCCCTCCCTAAACCCACCTTGCAATTTCTTCGCAGACCCCCTTGCAGATCCTGCCCTAAACCCTCCCTTGCAGACCTCTCCCTCAACTCCCTCGCTGCAGATGCTACCCTAAACCCTCCCTCGCAGATCCCTCCCTCAACTTCCTCGCTGCAGATCGTCCCCTAAACCCTCCCTTGCAAATCCTCCTAAACCCCGTCCCGGCGGAAAGCAAGCATCTAGTGCCAGCTACAACAAGCAAATTTTTCTGACAGCGCAGCCTCGCAGACCTGGACCCACGCTTAACAATCTCAAAACCGGAAACCCTGAGACCCTGCAGCTCTGAGGCATCCCGCATTTCGCGCTCCGCATGGGGCATGTTATCCACAACCTCACAGGCGCAAACTTGCAACTTGCTAAGACTTGCAAGTACTGCGCACTTCCCGCACTGACAGAAGCACCTGACAAGTTCTTGCGTGCAACACTGCTTCTGTTTACATTGCCGACCAGCAGAAACATTAAGCTGACACTGATATCACTCTGAGGAATCCGGCTTGCATTGGGCGCGGGCATGTCAACAAAACCTGACGGGAGCAACACAAGTAGAAGGTCGTGTCACGCCTTTGCTCCTGACAAAAGAAACCACCGGAGCGAACGAGCTTCGCGGCCAACGGCCAGTGAAAAACCTACAAACCTACTACAGTCTCCAAGCTGCCAGAGGCCCATGGCAGACTGTGGTCACCACCAGCTGCCAGCAAGGCCCAGGTGCATGACCTTTCAGCTCACACCTACTTCAAGTCTCCAAGCTGCCAAAGGCCCATGGCAGACTGCGGACTCCACCAGCTGTCCCCAGGACCCAGGTGCAAGACCGTGGTGCTACACCCTAAAGCCTAGTGGTGCAGTCTGCTCCAAACGATCCACAGGAGGAACCACCCTCCCCCTCACCCCCTCAAACAATGATGCCGAAACAAAGCTTAAGAGCAACAGAGGCAAGGTCTGAATCTTTGATACTTGCGAATTGCGGAAGCACGCCCGCGAAGTACATCTTTGTTGCGGTGGGGCAAGGGGAGGGTACTACTGTTGATGGACAAAATCCTGCATGACCCTAAGGACCCTAAACTATGGGAATTATATGGTAGATTCCTTATACTGGATAATGCAGGATTTTGTCCATCAACCGTAGGAACAGCGTCTGTCCCTGAATCTTGAACCCTGCACTTTAACCCACGTCGTAATCGCTCAAGCATGCTTCGAGCGTGGGGCCCCAGCCTGCTTTACACCGTGAGCACGACAGACCTTGGGAAGGGCCGATTTCGTGCAGGTTTGTTGAGCCCTACTTTAAGGTTTTGAAGGTTTAGGGTTTGATACTTTAGGTCTGACAAGCCGACAGGCTTTGAAGCTTTGCGATTTGCATTGGAAAACGCTACCCAAATCAACCAAGCCCGCAAAACAGCGCCAAATAGATAGAACACGTGATAACCTATTTTTTTTTACGAGCGCACTGCCGCTGGTACTACTGTTGATGGACAAAATCCTGCATGACCCTAAGGACCCTAAACTATGGGAATTATATGGTAGATTTCTTATACTGGATAATGCAGGATTTTGTCCATCAACCGTAGGAACAGCGTCTGTCCCTGAATCTTGAACCCGCTTAACTCTAAGCTGGCGCGCCTTTGGAAGGGCATCCAGAATGCCCACTTCCATCTTCCATACCGGTCCATACCTGGTGTAGAAGCGAAGTGCAGTCGAATGGCCTGACCTACTTGTGTTCTTCTGCACTCTCAACGCTCACAGTTGGGCACGAAGTACGGCAGTCTCCAAGCTTAACTCTCAGAGCTGGCGCGCCTTTCGAAGGGCATCAAGAATGCCCACTTCCATCTTCCATACCTGGTGTAGAAGCAAAGTGCAGTCGAATGGGCAAGTGGAGCGTTCGTTCTCTGAGTCCTTGGCAGGCTGGCGGCCTGCGGCCGAAAACTGCAGCACCCAAAATTGTTTCGGGATCTGTAAATGCACTCCTAGCAGCACCTCACAGGGATTCGGTATTGGACGCTTGCAAAACTGCATGCCGGCCAATTTTGCTGCTTGCAGAAACAAATTTGGTCATGAAGACCCACAACCTCACCTTTACATCTGCTTTAGCTGCACTTTTTAACTGGCAGTGTAGAAGATCGCAGGCGAAAGCCGCAGCACCTCTACATCTGCCTTGGCCGTTGCCCAGTGTAGAGGATCGCAGGCAAAAGCCGCAGCACCTCTACATCTGCCTTGGCCTTGGCCGTTGCACAGTGTAGAGGATCGCAGGCAAAGGCCGCAGCACCTCTACATCTGCCTTGGCCCTTGCACTTTTTTAACTGGCAGTGTAGAGGATCGCAGGCGAAAGCCGCAGCACCTCTACATCTGCCTTGGTCCTGGCACTTTCTAACTGGCAGTAAAAGGCTCGCAGGCAAAAGCCGCAGCACCTCTACACTTGCCTTTTTCTTATCTGAATACACACATCTGGAGCATGGATCGGACTTTTTCTGTCAGTTCGAGAGTACTTCGAGCTTGGAGAACTTCAGACCACACGCAGGGATATGCTTCCCCTGCAAATGATCTTACGGGGCCGCTAGACGGGCCGCTGCAGATCTGCAAACGATCTTAGGGGGCCGCTTGGCGGGCCGCTAGGATGATTTCCAAGTCTCTCACTGAGAGAGCCTTCGTCTTCTTTACAAGTTTCGCCTTGCGCTTCTGCACAGCGCGCAAAGCCTTCTGGTGCTCTCTGCAGGCCTTTTTGGCGTCCAGCTTCCTTGCCTTGAGCATGCGAATCTGGGCGTCGAGGTCCTACAAGGAGAAGGATGCTAATTGAGGGCGTCGAGGTCCTATTAAGAGTTCCCAGATTCAGGGGTTTTTTCACTACCAAAACAGACGAATCTGGGCGTCGAGGTTCAGGGGGTCTACTTAGCAGCAAAACGTAACCACAACCCTCCAGCCCCCTACAGTACTACTACCGCCTCCTTTGATGAGCTTGGCCCATCGGGTGACCACCCTTGAGGATCAGGTTCGTGCTTTGCAGGCTGCTCCGAGGGAGCTCAGCTTGCGTGTGGGAGGCTCCGAATCGGAGTTCCAGGTCGTTACTCCTCGGGCTTCTTCGCCCGTACCTGCTGCCACTTCCTTAACCTCTTCGGTTCCCCTAGGGTTTAGTCCCGAACCCCGCCCTGCCGAGCCCGAACCCTTAAGGTTTAGCTCCTCAGGACCCGTGTCTGCCGCTCCCGCGGCCTCTGCATCCTTGTCTCCTCGTTCTCGGGGGGCGGCCTGCCGAGAGATCGGGCTGTTTCTTCGCAGGGCCACTGACGGCCAACATCGTGGGCCTTCCGGCCGTGAGCGCCTTCCCGGCGGTTCGAGGTACTGGGTTGTTGTGAAAGACTTCAGCGGGGTCTTGTTTCAGCCGGTGCGGGTTTTTAACAAGTTCGGGGATTGCAAAGACCTCGTGAAGAGGGGCTCCGATCTGGGCGAGTCCGTGTGCATCGGCTTGCCTTCGCGGGGGGACGTGATTGCTGTGTGCACTGCTGCGCAACTCCCGTTGCCCGGCAGCTGGTGAGATGGCTGAGGAGGAGGACGGCGAGCCGCTTACGGCTCGGGACGCGGCGGCAACTGGAGACGGCTTTGAGGACAAAGAATGTCCTGTGGCTTTGCTGCACTGCGGCAAGGCGGGAGATGGCGCGGAGGTGCTGGTCTTGATGCTGGTGGTCAAGGAGGTGGAGGGCCGGCTTGTAGTAGCCGTGCCCGCTTCGGCCTGGCATCGATTGGTCTCCAAGCGGACCGTGCCCAAGGGCTTTCTTACCAAGGTCGCGGGCGCGGAGGTGGAAGCTTGCAGTTTGGATGCCAGGCTGTCGGCCCGCGAAGGGGCCCGAGTGCGAGTGTGGATGGGGCTTTTAGACGCGCAGGCCGAGGCTTCCGTGACGGTGCCCTTGGAGCTCCCCGAAGGTCCCATCGGCTTTGGCTCTCTGGAAGATGGCCAGGAGGCTTTACCTTACGTGCCCGGCCTGATTGCTGCCTCGACCGAGCTCTTTTCCTTCGTTTCTGCCGAAAGTGCAAAGGGAGACGAAGTGGGCGGCCTAGGCGAGAGGCTGGCCAAGTTGGAGCAAGCTGTGTCGTCGCTGGTGGCTGCCGCTCAGCCCCCGACTGCCGCAAGCACAGGTGCAAAGGCGAAGGAAGGCCAGAGGTCTCAAGGAGCCCGCCGCTCCATTGCCCCTTGCTGGTCTGGACCCGTCGGTCGTGACAGCGGCCCGTGCGGCTGGGGTTTCGGAAGCCGCTCTCGGCGAGATGCACGCCTTGATTTCCCGGACGCACACCGGGCGGCAGAAGCCGGAGCCCGCGGCCGACGTGCTCGGCGAATCCGAGGAGGAGCTGCTCCCCTCCGAAGAGTATGGTGCCCAGCCGGGTTCAGCTCCTCAGGTTCCAGCTCCCAGCCACGGCCCTCGAGAGGCGGAGCTCTTCGCGACAGCCTTGGTGAAAGCAGTCGAGTCGATGTGCAAGCCGGCAGGGAGCAGCTCCCCCCTCGAGCGTGCTCTCGACGGCGCCGGTGGTGGGTCAGGAGAGGGCTTGTCGCTGCCGTCAGCCAGGAGAAACTCAGCTGCACGCCGGGCTCTGCGGGATGCCTTGGTCACTTCCCCTCACGAGATCTCCGCGGTGATAGAAGCCCTGATGGCGGAGGACCTGGCTTCAGTGTCTCCTGGCGTGGCCGTTCCGGGCCAGACCTCTGCGAGAGCTTGGGCCGAGCACCGATCGCGGGTGTCAGCTTACCCCTCGTCAGTGTGCTTTGGTGACGCCGCGGGTTTAGGAAGTTAGCAGCAAGTTAAAACACATTTATTTGCAAGTTAAAATGAAGTTAGAGATGGACTTATAACTTATTTGTAACTCGCTAACTTGTTGCTAAGTTTCTTAATGGTTTTTTGGCAGTTACAGACATTCAGTCGTTTTTAGCTGGAATTGGCCTAACTCGAGCGACAGAAGCAGTCAAATGAAGAAGAATTCGTTTTGACCTCAGCACACGCCAATGCCACTAATGCAAGAGTGGGGTACTGGAGGCTGCAGTACTTGCAGACGGCTTGCTGCTTTTAGCCGGGTTCTGGAAACTGCAGTGCCATGGCTCGCGGGAGCACAAGGACCCAAAAAACAAAAGGCCGGTCTTTCACAAAAAGGCTGCTGGAGCAACAGCGGCGATTGCGAGAAAGCAGCAAATGAAGCATGACGGCACCCAGCCCGGCGGACACATGGCATTGCTGACCGCGGGAGAACGGCGGACACCGGCGGACAGGCGGTTCCTATGACAAGGCCCTGGGGTGTAGACCGGCGGACACGGGCGGACAGGGACATGCTCCTACACGGCTAAAGCAAGGGTGCGGCGGACACATCCGGCGGACACTCCTCCGGGGAGTCTTGGGACCCGGCGGACACAGGCGGACACGGGCGGACATTTGGCGGACACAGGTTTTTAGCCGAATTGCTTCCGCAGATTTGCTTGGATTCGCTGCCTGCTTGCTTAGGATCTCAAGGAACTAAGGCAACGTCTTCACCCTCATAAGGAACTTCTAGGCAGCTGTAATTGCCCTTTCCAGTTTTTGTCGACATGGCCGCCACAGTGGCCGCCGCAGTGCTACCCTGCTCCTTGAGAAATGGCTACATTTCAACATATTTATCCTAAACCGAAACTTATCGAAAACACCTTCAAAAACCCATGGTCGTGCAGCAAACATGCAAAATTTAATGAAAACGCTAAGTACGCCAACTTCTTGCTAACTTTTTTTTACTGCTCTACCCTAACTGCCCGCTAACTACTCAACTTCTCGATATCTACGTGTTTTGCTAACTTAAGTTAGCAAAACATATAAATCAGTTAACGTATTTACAATCCAAGTTAGTGGCTTATTCAGCACTTGTAACTAAGTTGCAACTCTGTATGTCCTAGGCGACACCAAAGTGGGCGGTGTGGTTGATGGCCGGCGCCTTAGACTGCCTGCGGACCGACCGCCCGGCCCAGGCACGCGCACGATTGAACCTCGGGCTCATGATCTTCGATCAGATGTCCATAGACCACGGGTCCTTTGTGATGGCCGGCGAATTGGCGCTGGAGGTCCCCCCGCCCATCCAGAGCTTCAGGCAACACGAGGGGCATGCGACAGGCCAGGTCTACTCGAGGCTCCTCGACCCAAGGTGGGCAGAAGTCGCGATAGGGCACTTGAAAGAGCAGGCCGAGTTCCCCGAAAAACGTGCAAAGCTCGGCCGGCAAAACCAGCCACAGCCCCCGAGCGATACCCAGCCCGACGCAGAGGAGGCTGCTCCGAAAGGCGGCCGTCGGCCCAGAAAGAATGCATGAGCAAGTCCTGGTCTGAGGGGCCTCCGGCCTCCTTTTCTGAAGTTTCCGAACAGCCGCCTGTTCCTGGCTCCCGGGCCCCTTCTTTCTCCGTGCCAGGCTTGCTGAATTCACTGCCCCGCCTTTTGCTTAAGTCTGCGGGTCCTTTTGCCTCTTGTCTCCGATCCTCGCTTGCAGACGGCGCCGAACCTGCGCCGACGTGCCTTGTGTGGCCCATTCCTACGCCGCATCCTCAGGTTTTCCGTGGCCCTGCGCCATTGAGGCCAAGGCCGGGACCCCTTTGAACCGGCACCAGAAGCGGTGTGTCAAGCGGCTGGAGGCTGCTATGTTTGGCACGAGTTTTCCTTTTCATTTTTCTGCGGCCGACCTCGGCCGCCACGCTGCTAAGGTTGAAGCACAGAATGACATACTGGCCGCTTTGGGCCGGGCCGCCGACTCGATTTGCAGAGCGAGCGGCTACTTTGGACCTCCCAGTGCCCTGGGTGTTTCAACGGAGGCCGAATCTCAGGTTTTTCCTCAGAAACGGACGATTCCGCCAAGGGCCAAGCTGAAGGTTCGGCAGGAAAGTAGGCATGAGAAGCCCTCGCCTGGGGAATGGTCGGCCAGCTTTCCACTGCTATGCCGATCGCCGCCCGGCCCATCGTGGCTGACCGCATAAAGCTGCCCGGCCCGCCTCGCTTTCGGCCGGAACCTTTCATGGATGAAGCCACCGTGCGCAGGTACGTCGCTCCTCTGAGCTTCGCCCGGGATCCGCAAGAAGCCCCCCCGCCTCCTGCCGTTAAGGTTTTAGGCCGTAAAGAGGAGAAGCTCAAGCTGTACCGGGCTCTGGCGCAGAGTGGGCGACTCCTGCCCGCAACCTTCCCCGAGGGGCGGGAGCGCTTCGGAGCTGGCCTGTTCGTGGTCGGCAAGGATCAGGAACGTGATCGCTTGATATTGGATGCTAGGCCGCTAGGCCAGCCAACGGCCTTGAGAGCCCGGTCTCCTGCTGGACCAAGAGCCTTGCCTCGGCTGTCGCCGTGACCACTCTCGTGCTGGAGCCCGACCGCACCATGGTGTTCTCAGGAGCGGACCTGCGCGAGTGCTTTTACCAGTTTGTTGTGGGCGAAGAACGGCTGCGACGCAACATGATTGCTGACCGCCTCGATGCAGAGCAAGCTGCCTTTGTGTTTGGGAGGTCAATGGCCGACCAGCTCGACCACACCGGTCACTTGTGCATCGGGTTCGCCTCTCTTGCTATGGGCGACTCCGGGGCGTGCGAGTACACTCAGTGTGCGCACCTCGGAGTCGTTGCGCGAGGGGGAGCGCTGCTTCCAGGCGAGCTCCTTGTTCACGGCTCCCCTCCGCCGCGAGGTTTGCTCTCGATAGGCCTCATCATCGATGATCTCATTTGCTTGGATCGCGTGGTGACCTCGCAGCTTGCCGGGGTTCTGGAAGGGACGGTGCCCTCTGTCGGGCACGACCGCCTGCAAGCGGCGCTCGCCGCCTACCGGGAAGCCCCTTTGGAAGTTTCCGACAAGAAGGTGTTCTCGAACCAGGTCCAGGCGTCCTTCTGAAAAGTGGCGGTTTGCGGTGCCAGCCTAACCCCCACCGCCTTTGGCCTTTGGCCCTTAATCCTGATCACCCTTAGGACCGTGGAAATAGGCCTGGCAACCCAGCACCTTCTCGAATCTCTGGCCGGCTGCTGGATCTCCATCTTCATTCTCAAGAGGCGCCTGCTCTCTGCTATGAGCCTGATCTTTGATGCCTGTGCTGTGGGAAGTGCCGGGACTTTGGTGCGCCTCTCTCCCGAGCTCCGTGCTGAACTTGGGACCTTAGCTTTGCTCGGGCCCTCGTGTGCCGTGAACCTCCGGGCCCAGGTCGATCCGACCGTCACGGCCACTGACGCATCATCAAGCCACCAGGCTGCCGCCCGAGCTCCTTTGCCCCAGGCCGTCGCCGACGAAGCTTACCGGCAGAGTGTGCAAAAAGGGGCCTGGACCAGACTCCTCGCTCCCCCGAGCGCCTGGTTGAAGTCTCATGGGATGCTTGAAACCTCGGGCGAGCTGCCGGGAGAGGAAGAGTACAAGGCCCTCCCTCTTTACTGCGCTCTCGCAGCATGCCCTCGCTACCGGGAGCTCTGGTGCAAGGGGTACAAGAACTGGGTGCACATCAACGTCGCTGAACTTGAAGCCTTCCTCAGGGAAGAAAGGCGAGCCGGTGCCCGGAGCCCTTCGAGCCGATTCCTCTTCGGCCTTGACAGCCAGGTGACCATATAGGCTGCGTTGCGAAGGGGCGGTCGGCGTCGCCGCGACTCAACGAGCTCCTTGAACGATCCATACCTTTTGTCTTGGGCTTTCAGTCGTGTGCTGCCCCGCTTTTCTTCCCCACGCACCTGAACCCAGCCGACGACCCTACCCGCGGCCGTGAAGTCCGCGAGCCTAGCGTTGCTCTGCCTCACTGGTGGTTGCGCTTGTGTCAGGGTGACGCTTCAGAGCTCGAGGCAGCTACTCGGGCCGCTGGCTTTGGTTGCAGTGGTGACGCTTTCGAGGGCGACCGAGCCGCCAGAGCTCCTGCCTCCGCCGTTGCGGCTTAACCAGGTTGAAGCGTGTCTGTGAGCCGAGCCGGCCTTGCGTGCGCCCTCCAAGCGGAAGTGGTCTGCATGCTGATGTGACGCCCTCCTGAGTTCCCTCCCGATCCGGTTCTTCGTTTGGAAAGGGTCGCCTTCCGGCCTTCCCCTCAGCCGGCCCGGGCTCGTCGAGATTCGGTCACAGGGTCGGGGCCTCAGCCGGGATATGTTGAGGTTAGGTTGCCCTTGGGTGTTGGTCCTCGATGCTGGCTGCCTCTTTAACCGGTGCCCCGACTTCGACGAGAATGCGGAAAAGGTCCTGTGTCTTCTCTCTCGCGGCGCCTTCCTGGCCGTCGGAGCTGCACCGGTGATCTCGACTTTCTCCAAGGCCTGTGTTCCCAGAGTGCGGTCGAGCACTGCCGTGCAAGGCTCCGAGCACCTCGCACCCAGCATGCACCAGAAGGTGCTTCGTGACAATGCGTTGTGCTGCTGGACCGCTACTTAAAGCACAGTGCCTGCGGCAGGACCTGACTTACTGGTTCGACTGCCCCGACTCTTCCTGGTGGTGGCGCATGGCTGGCTGGGAGGCCGAAGCGAAGCCCTCTTCAGCCGGGACTTGGCGAGTCGACATGTGCCGCTTCGGGTCCCGCTGGCGCAAGCGCACCCGCATCGCCACCAACACGAGCTTGCAAGGAGCCCGGCTGCTATGCCAATGCAGGGGCCACTTTCGGTTGTTTGGCTTTTCCTCCGCCCACCGGAGGCCTTGGACTTCTGTTGCGGGTGACAAGCCTCGTGGCTTCCACTGTGCCCTCGCGACCGCTGTGGCTTCTCGATGCGGATGGTGCCAAGACCGTCCTCTCGACGCGGCTGCTTGTGCCAAGCTGCCCAACTGCTGCCGGGTCGGTGAGGCTGCTAACCCTGGGCCCCGACCTCCTCGTGCTCGCCCTGCCGGGCTTGACCTCGAGGCTTTGCCTCTGTTCTCCGGGACTTCCCTTCGCCTCGGTGAGCGTGCCTGGACTTCTTTCCTTCTGTGGTGCTCCACCGTCCTTTCGTTCGATCCTACCGTGTCGTTCGTTAGCTGCCCCGCGCTCCTCGCCATGGTCCTCCGTGCCTATGGGAATTACTTGTTTCAGTCTGGATTGTCTCTGCAAACCTACAGGTACACCATTCTGGCTGCTCAGAGGCTTTCTTGGGGCATGCGAGGGCAACTGGGTGCTGCTTGGGAACTGGTGAGCAGGTGGGAACGACTGCAGCCGGTGCGGCACCGCACCCCGGTGCCCGAGGCTGTGGTACAAGCTATGATCGTGTTGGCCTGGGCTAAAGGCTACCGCCGCTGGGCTGGGGCGACTCTTTTGGCTTTCTACGGGCTGGCGCGAATTGGGGAGGTCTTAAAGTGCAGGCGTGAGCACCTCTTGCTTCCGCGAGATCACATGTCTGAGCTGAGGGTGGTCTTCTTAAAGCTTGACGCGGCGAAGTCTTCTTCCCGAGGGGGAGCCAAGGTGCAACACCTCCGAGTTGACCTCGACCTGGCCGTGCTGCTGCTGGAGAAGATCTACGCGCCTTTTTGCCATCATGACTGGATATACCCCTTCGGCCCTGCAACCTATCGGGCGAGATGGGACTTTCTTCTGGGGGCCTTTGGCAAGGCCACGCTGACCCCCGGCGGCCTTCGTGGCGGCGGAGCGGTGTGGGCCTATCATCGTGGCTCCTCTGTCTCGGACATACAGTGGCGGATGCGTTTGCAGCACCAGCAGACTCTGGCTTTCTACCTCCAGGAGGTAGCGGCCTTGAATATCATTCTTGACGCAGGGCCGGACGCCAGAACCACTCTGTTTGCTGCTGCGCAGCTTTTCTCTTCTCTATCGGCTTCTTCCTGACGCTGTACCTCGCTGCCGGGCTTCGGCCTCAAGCTCAGCGGACGCGCCGCGAGCTTTGCTCTACGGCTGGTACGTGCGCATAGCTGGACAAGGCGAACGACTGCGGCGGCTTGTGGGCGGTTCTGTGTGTGCCACCTCAGTGGTTTACACAAGCCGCTTGGGACCACCTTTTTCGCCCTCTTCGCCTTGGCGGCAGTTGCTACTGTGACGTTTGTGCCTGCGCGAGGAAAAGTTCTTTTGAGCGCTCCGGGGCGGTGAACTGGAGGGTTTAAACATGCTCGCTCATGTTTCAACCTGATTTGTGAACCGAGCTTTTTGGGCCCTCCCGCCCTCCCGTCAAGTGACGTGGGACAAGGCGAACGACTGCGGCGGCTTGTGGGCGGTTCTGTGTGTGCCACCTCAGTGGTTTACACAAGCCGCTTGGGACCACCTTTTTCGCCCTCTTCGCCTTGGCGGCAGTTGCTACTGTGACGTTTGTGCCTGCGCGAGGAAAAGTTCTTTTGAGCGCTCCGGGGCGGTGAACTGGAGGGTTTAAACATGTCTATATCTATGTCTATATCTATCTCTATATCTATATCTATATCTATATCCAGATCTATATCTATATCTATATATATATATACATACATACATATATATATATATATATATATCTATATGTAGGGTTTAGGGTTTAGATTGTAGGGGTTTTGATACTGCGATTGAAAGGGGAGTATCGGGCTCTACAGGACATTTACGGGGCTTACAAGGATTCTACAAGCGTTTTGCGAGGGTTATACGGGTTTTATGAGTGAGCAGCCAGAACTTCAGAATGTATGCTGTGTTTAGTTCGCGAAGCTCGTTCGGTGTGGGGGTTTCTAAAGACCTGCATGACGGTCAAAAGCTGTTGTTATACTTATCTGACTTGTATCCTTGCTTATCCCTGAAGTAGGATCTGAATCTTCGAACCTGCTTTCCCCGGCTGCTGAATTCGATGTGCTTCATTGAATCTGCAATTGATGCGGATACTGTCACCCTAGGCACTAAACCAATTCTAAACCGTGGTGGTGATGGTGGTGGTGGTGGTGGTGATGGTGGTGCGTTTGATACTAAGGATGGTGACCTCGCGACGAAGATGCGGATGATTAATAACTCGCTGAGTATGCCTAATGAGGTGGGCTACATCATGCCGGAGATCTTCCGCTTCCCTGGCTGCGAGGCACAACTGTAGGGGATTACGGGTTTCGATGCGGCGTGGCAAGATGTTGACTTCCTGTCAGCACACGTATGTATGCAGGTGCGTGTGTGTGTGTGTGTGTGTGCCTGTATGTATGTAGCGTATGTAATATACGCATACACACATGTACACATACGTGTTGTTTCCGTTCACGTGCATGCATGCATGTATGCACGTTTGTATGTCTATGCGTGCTTGCGTGCATGTGTATGTATGCTCGTATGTATGTCTGTGGATGTACCGATGTAAAACAAAAATGTGTAAACAGATGCGCCGCATTCCAATCGCCGTACTCAGGAGTAGTGATTATGTGAACCATGTAGGACTTCCAGTAGTGGTTTAAAGAGTGTCCCGTCACTAGGGGATAAGCTGGGCTCTCTGTGTAGATCTCTCTCTCTCTCGGAGCAGCGCAAAACCCTAAACCCTAAATCCTAAACCCTAGACTCTAAACCCTAAACCCCAAACCCTAAACCTTAAACCCTAAAACCCGAAACCCTAAAACCCTAAACCTTAAACCCTAAAACCCTAAACCCTAAAACCCTAAACCCCAAATCCTAAACCCTAAAACCCCAAAAAGCCGTGAGGAGTTCAAGCACGGCCTCGGTGCGTTTGAGAGCATCCCACTGGAGGCTCTCTTTGAGCTTTCCTTGAGCATCTTTCTGAGAACGTTTTCCGACACTTTGTGGGGTTTCTGCCTTTTTTTTGGGACAGTATGGGGGATTCAGATGAATAGGGTTTTGGGGTTGAGGGTTTAGGGTATAGGGTAAATGAGGGATTTAGAGGAATACGGTTAGGATGTACTGTAGTTTTTAATCGGGCTTGAGGTCAGCTGAGGAAGAGTTTTCCGGGCTCTGCGGTTCACATGGGGGTTCAGGCCCTGGGTCGGGGCTAAATTGCTCACGCTTGTGCCGTGTAGGGTTTAGGGTTTAGGGGTTGCGGGTTTAAAGTTTAGGGTTTACGGTTAGGGGTTTAGGGTTTAGGGTTTAGGGGCTCTTGGGAGTGGTTTTCATGATGAGGGTTCAGGTTTCCAAGTTCATCGCCCGTCGTGTCTACGCAATACACCAACTGGAGCACGGAAAGCCTTGTTGCTCAAGGTAGAGGATGTACGTTTACATGGTCTTTCGGGTGTCGCGTTTCGGGTCTGGCGTGTAGGGTTCTAGGATTTGAAGCTAGTTTCGAGAGTTTCTTCGTGTTCTCTTAGTGTCACGGTCTCATGTCATTTGTCCCTTTCGAGCTGGAGGATTGAAAGCTTGAAGCTTGAAGGAGATAGATGGTCTGATCCCATACCAGATGGTGTAGGGTTCAAAATTCAAAGTCTTTAGCAGTAATCGCACTGTTGTGCCAGGGTTTAGGGTTCGGGGGTGGGTAAGTTTCAGGATCTCTCAGCACAGTCGAGCTTTGCATTCTGGTCTTGCCCAGGCCCTCAACAGTTCCCTTGATGTTGCAAACTCTTCGCCCTAAGCCCTAAACTCTCAAGCCCAGACCCTAATCCCTAAACCATCCAAAAAAACTTTCAGCCAAACCCCAGAAGCTGCAGTGGAGCATCAGGGGAGTTAACAGGCGCATGCTAGACGGAGAGCGACGAAACGGTTACCGAAGCCGCATACAATCCTACGGTTGATGATATAAATCCTGCATTACCTTAAGGACCCTAAACTATGGGAATTATGGTATATTCCTTATTATGGGTAGTGCAGGATTTATATCATCAACCGTATGAGGTGCGTATGACGCCCTACACGCCCCTAGACCCTAGGCCTTTCACGCGAACCCAAGATGCCAAAATGCAAAACCCCAAACCCAAAGCTTTAGACCCTAAATCCTTCAACCCCAATAAACCCTAAACGCTGAACCCACAAGTTAAAAAATGACCCCATGCATCCCCGGAGCCCCAGAAGTTTTCGGACTCCAAAGGGCTGGGTGCAGCTGCTGGCTCTTGTCGGGGCCCATGAGGCCCTACTTGCAGCCTCGTCGGGATTTAGGGTTCAGGGTTTAGGGTTCAGGGCTTGGCTAGGGTTCTGTCGACAGATTTGGGGTTTGAGGCATGTGGGGTTTCAGGATTTAAAGTTTAAGGTCTAGGATATAAGTATCTAGGGTTGTATCGACTGGTTTAGGGTTATGGGGGCTGAGGGTTTAGGGATTAGGGCTTTTGGGGTTTACGGTTCAGCGCTTGGAAACTAGGGGGTGATGCTGTAAGGCTTCCACACGGCTTCTGCCATTTTCAGGGCTCTTTGGAGCCGGATCGGTGGCTTCGGGGCTGCAGGGCAGTTCTGGCCCTCTGGGGGTTATTGTGGTGGCCGTGTGCGTGCCTAGGGTTCGGCTTTCAGATTTGTAGGCTCATCTCGTCTTCCCCGACACCCTCAACCCTGACACCCGAACCCGAACCTTTTTCAACTGCGGCTTGGGGGCGTAGAGTCACAACCCGGATATATTTGCAGCGTAGACCACAGATTCCCTGCCAGGTCGCAGAGGGATCCTTATCGCCCCCCTACATTAAAAGAGATAGCAAGAAGGATCCTAATGCTAGGACCGGGGTTCAGGGGCTTACATGAATCGGACAAGTTCATGGCTTCGAGTCCAGACGATGCGCCGCGGGAGATTTTTCGAAGCCCTGAACGTGCACGGTTCCGTGTGGAGGGCTTTATTTTGTTGCCTGGGTAAACAGTAGGATGATTGGTTGGGGCTCCTAGTAATAGTAATATACAGTATACAACTCCCCAAAACTTAGTCCTACGGTTGATGATATAAATCCTTGCATCAACCATAAGGAACATACCATAAATCTCATAGTTTAGGGTCCTTAAGCTAATGCAGGATTTATATCATCAACCTAAACTCTAAACCCTAAACTCGTATAGATCCCTTAAAGGAACCCTTGAAGGTACCCTTATGGATCCCTTTAAAGGAACCCCAGGGTGTATATCACCTTACTGCGATTATTCAGGCACTCAAAGGGGAAAAGGAGGGACCCTTAAAGGGGACCCTTAGCTTATAATGGGCTATATGATGGGTATATAATAGCTATATTAAGGGTACCTAGGGGTCCTTATTAAGGGTCCCTCCTTTTCCCTTTTGAGGCATCCATGGTTGGGTTTAACGCTCCATGCAATCGCCTTCTTCAGCTCGACCAGGCGCTACAAAGCGCAACTGCTTCAGCCACCCTTAAACCCCCGAAGCCTAAACCCAAAACCTTACTAAATCCTAAACCCGAAGCCCTAAACCCCAGACCCCAAACCCTAAACCCTTAAACCCTAAACCCAGAGCTTGAAGCCCGAAGCCCTAAACCCTAAACCCTAAACCCAGAAAAGCAACACGAACCAACGCGAAACCAGAATGCCCCGATGCGCCTTTGACTTCTGGTGACTGTAGTTCTGAATCCTGAACGCTAAACCTGAAATCGAAGCCGGATATCTAAAAGCCCCAGCCTCTGTCTCAAAGCCCCCAAACCCCTAGGGAACCCTTATAGTTACAACTTGTCATCCATGCCACCAAACCCTAAACCCCCAAACTTCCTCTAGACTCCAAACCCCTAATCCCCTAAACCCCTACCCCCCTAATCCCCTAAGCCCTTCTTACCCCCCCTCAACCCCTAAACCCTAAACCCTAAACCCCTATAGATTCCTTGTAGATCCCTTTGCAGGAACCCTTAGGATTCCTTTAAAGGAACCCCTAACCCCTCAACCACCTAAACCCCTAAATCCTCGGAGCCCTGAAGCCTTTTGCGGCGCGCAGGTCCTGGTGAAGCCCCGCGAGGGTGGCATGGGCCTCTCGATCTGACTTCAGATTTAAGTTACCACGGTTTAGGGTTTAGGGTTCAGGGTTTAGGGTTTGGGGTTTAGGGTTTAGGGAGGAATCCACATTAATTATTTACTACAGATCCCTTATGATTATTTACCATCGATCCCGTTTGATTATTTAGCAAAGATCCCTTATGAACCCCAAAGGCAGAATCCAAAACCCTAAACCCCACATCCCAAGCCCCGTTACGGTCACTTAAACCCTAAACCCTACACCTTAAACCCTAAACCCTGAACCCTAAACCTAAACCCTAAACCCTAAACCCTAAGCCCTAAGCCCTAAACCCTAAACCCTAAACCTAAACCCTACACCCTAAACCCTAAACCTAAACCCTAAACCCTAAACCCTTCTTTAAAGAAGAATCCCAGGCCTCTACGACTTCGGCCTCGGCGTGGAGCTCCTGGACGGCATTGACGAGGCAGGGTGGTTTGAGCTTTAGGGCATTGGGTTTAGGGTTCAGGATTTAGGGTTTAGGGTTTAGGGTTTTAGGGTTTTAGGGTTTAGGGTGTAAGATTTAGGGCTTAGGGTTTAGGATTTAGGGCTTGGTTTTTTTGGGTACTGGGCTTTTGGTCTCAGGGTTTTGGGCTCGAGGCTTGGAGTGTAGGGCTCAGGGTTTAAGGTTGAGGATTTAGGGGTTCGAGGTTTTCGTCACTAATCACTGAAGAGAACTATTCCTACTCCGCCCTGCCCCATGAGCCTTCGCATGCAATCCCCCGCCCGCATGATGGTCATCGGCTGCACGCATAGGAACTGCTCGACTGTGCTTCGGGACCCTGCTGTCGCTTAAGACGCGAGCGGCGCAACGACTTGCTCTGCAGCGGCACAGCCATGGCGCATACTGATGCTTCTGCATGATTGAGATCGTTACTGTTGTGGACTTGTTTCTGCAACCACTGCTGTCATCCCGTGAGACCTGAGATCCTGACAGGGTCGTTGCTGGGTTCGACCTGTTCCCTGTGAGCTTGCGTGGAAGTGGTTCTGCATAACATGGCCGTGGCTGCACTGGACCCGGTGGGACCCAGACTCATGAGCGTTGTGTTTTGCGAGTCATATAAGGGTCCATGTTAGACCTTTCAAACAAGGTTATGAGCTGATCACTGTACTGCATGGTCAAGGGTTAGGTAGTTAGGAGCTGCGTGCCGAGTAGGAAACTTTAAGGCCCAAAGGCGTAAGCACCTCCGAATCCTGGGACGCTTCGAAGCCAGGAGACACCTTGCAGCGAAAATCATTCGAAACCGCAAGCGAAAATCTCACACCCGTCTTGGGAAAGCCGTAGCTCGGTTGTAAACCTTCATCTTGTACATGTTTATGAGCCCCCGAGACCCTACTCAAGATGGAGCGCCAGCCCAAAACCTAGACTTAACCCCGAAGCCCTATACCCTAAACCCCTAACCCCCGAAACCCCGAAACCCCTAAACCTCAACCCCCCAAACCCTAAACCCCTAAACCCTCAAACCCCTAACTAAACCCCTAAACCCCCTCTAAACCCTAAACCCCTATAGATTCCTTATAGATCCATAAACCCTACTTGGAGGACCATGGGACTTAGTAAGTATGGTTATGAGTACCTTAATTGGGATTATATAAGTATAACTATATAGCTACCCTAATAATGACCTCAGCTGCTACGTGCCATATCCTTATAGTATCCCTCTAAAGAACCCTGGACCCCTAAGCCCCTAAACCCTAAACCCTTGTAGTACCCTTATCGTATCCCTTTAAGGCATCCCCTTCAAGGAGCCTTTATAAAGCCGAAGCTATAAACCACTAAACCCTTAAACCCCCTCTAAACCCCCTATGGCTTCCTTATAGACCCTTTTATAGGAACCCCTAAAGTTCCTTTAAAGGAGCCCCTATACACCCTAAGCAACAACGGGCGCAGGAGGAGATCGAACGCAAGCAGACCTCGGAGCGCAACAACGGGCGCCTGGCGATGATCGCCATCCTTGGCCTGATGTGGCAGGCCCCTTAGGGTTCCTTTAAAGGGCGTAGGGTTTAGGGATTCCTTTAAAGGAACCCTAAGGGTTCCTTTAAAGGGATCCTTAAAAGGATACTATAAGGGATCCATAAGGGTAAAATTTAACTGAGTTTAGGGTTTGATTTAGGGTTTGGGGTTTGGGGTTTAAGGGAGGAAGGGTTTAAGGTTTAGGATTCGGGGTTTGGGATTAGGATTCGGGGTTTGGGATATTGGGGTTGGGGTTTAGGCTCTTAGGCTTGGGAGGCTTCATAGGGTTTGGGGAGGAGGGGTCTATAGGCTTGGGCTCTGGGGTTTAGGTTTCGGGGTTTGGGGTTGAAGAGTTTTGGGTTTAGGGTTTGCGGCTTCGGGGTTTGCCCTAAACCCTAAACCGTTTGGAGTTGGTATTTGTCGTGTGGGGGTGAGGGCTAAGAAGTTGAGTTTTCTCGGCATCCGAGGCTCATCGACCACAGAGCTTCTCTACAAAATTCCCAGAGTTTCCAACATCCCTTAATTAAGGAATACACCTCAAAAAAACGAGTAGGATCCTGAATATGATTTAAGGAATACCTATAGTCTCCATTCTAGTTCCTTTTTCTGGTTAACCGAAATCTCTATTATACGATCCTCACCATAAAACTGGTTAACCAAGAAAAGGAACTACAATGGAGACTGTAGGTACTCCTAAATTTGAGGATATTGGAGTCTTCGGGCTGATGGGCTCCAGGATTCTTTAGCCCCAGAGGTTTCCAAAGCCGCGAAACCTTCGGGCCTAGGGTTTAGGGACGGTGCAGGGTTTAGGGTTCAGGCTTCACGGTTCAGGGTTAAGGGTTTGCATATAAAACCCCAAGTAGCCTACCTTTTTAAGAACTTATATAAAGAAAGCATATGAGGGAACCCTAAAAAAAGGTAGTGTCCAGGTAGGGGCGTATCTTCTGGCAAAAGTAGGGTTCTTTGGATTACAGAGCAAGAAGTGGGCTGAAGCCCTTCTTCCAAAGTTCTCAGGTTTAGGGTTCAGGGATGTTTAGGGCTTAGGGTTTAAGGTTTAAAGGCTCAAGGGTTTAGTGTTTAAAGGTGTAGGGTTCAAGAATTCCAGGGTTTTAGAGGCTCTTGGGTTACAAAAGCTCTTTGGGGGTTTAGCCTAGCGGTTCAGAAAATGAGCTCCTATGCTTTTGTACTAGGTTTTTGTTGGTGAGGGTTTTTGCGGGCGTGCTTCTTTGGTGCGGTTATTGTCCGTCCTAGTTTCATGTTTTTTGCGCTTTTTTTGCTGTATTTATGGTGAGAGGTGCTACCATGCCCCAGTAGCTGTATCGAACGGGTGCGTAGTGTCTGGACTGTCACATCCATGGGCCCGCGACACACGGCTCCTAAGCCCAAAGCCCTTCAAGGTTGAAGCACTTTCTCTTGAAGCTACACTTTCAAGGATTTTGATGAAGGTATTCCGTACATGTCAGTGTGAACCCAAGGACTTTGAAACCCTTAAAAATCTTAGCCGAAACCCCAAACCCCCTAACCCTAAACCCTAAACCCTAAACCCCAAACCAAACCCCAAACTCCAACCCCCCATGCTCTGCTCCCTCTTCGTACCAGGACGGCACCTTCGGCGAGCCTCCCCTGACCTACATGAACAAGAACGGTTTCAGTAGCTGAATGATGGTGGGACCGGCGTCGGTGGGTGCAGAGGGGGTTACCAGAACCCTCCATATACCATCCAGTAGTAAGTAGTGTGATTATTTACAACCTGGGGTTAGGGTTCTGGTGTTCAGCCGCGCCTAGTGCTATTTCTGTTTCGTTGATACAGGGTTCGAGGCTAGCCAGGGTTCTGGCATTCAACCGTTTTGCCACGTAGCAGGCATGGATGAAGGACATAGACAGCAGTGGATAGCTACGCTAAGCGAACGCGTGGGGCTGATGTTTGGGCCAACTGTGGCTGGCCCAAGTAAGGGCTCTTTTCGGGCTTTTCGGGGTCATCGAAGAAGCAGCAGGTATTGTAAACCAAGCCCTCATCCCTAAACTCTCAACCCTCATCTCGTAGCATCTTCCGAAGCATGCGAATCCAAACCCAGAGCCTGAAGCCCAAGACCTACACCCCCAAACCCGTGACACTCTGCTAAGCCCGAGAACTTCACACCCGAAGTCGAAGCCGTAAGCCGGAAGAACTGCATCCAAAGCCCTACACCCCATGCCCAAAGCCGTAGTGAACCCAGGTTTTTCGTGGGTCCATGAGTGCAACGCCCGGTTGTTGGAGTTAGGTGCATAGAAGTTTGGGTTTAGTGTTTTGGGTTCGGTTGTTCTTACGGAACGTAGTTTTCATGTTGCCTGGTTGGTGCACCCGCAGAAAAATGCATAGTTTTCACTCAAACCAGAAAAGGTCATGAACAAGAACCCGGAAGCGTGTAACCTCAGTAGCCGAGAATAGACCAGTCTTCCTTCCACACGGGTTTAGGGTTTAGGGTTTAGGGCTACGGCGAGGACCCTGAGCCTATTAACCCTAAGCCCGGAAAGGGGGGGGGGGTCAGTCGTCTACATAGAAAATCGTCCAGTCCCCGATGCCAGGTCTTTGGTGATCTAGGTCCTTCGGCCGGTTTAGGGTTCAGGGCTTAGGGTTTAGGGGACACAAGTCCTGAACTCTAAAGCCAAACTCTTCAGGTTTCTGGGGTGAGCCCGTGCAGTTCATCGTGTCTCACATCGTGAACTGCCAGTCTTTCAGCGGCAGCCGCTTGGTCTAAACCTTAAAGCCCTAACCGTGCACCAGGGAAAGGAAGCATCATGAACCTTAGATTAGGGACCCAAACAGCACATAAGCATAACCATTTTCTGGGGATATCCGTAAATTATTGGGCTTCATTATAAGGGGATTTAAATGGGATATCACCATTTTAATTTTTGCTTATGTCCTTTTTTTGGCCCCTACTTAGACCAGCCACCCTACTCCGAAGACTCGGGCTTAGGCCTTAGGAGTGTGGAGGGTTTTGGTTTTGGTGCTAGGGTTTCGGGTTTAGGGTTTGGGTGTCAGTCGTGTGTAGCATTTGGGTGAGACTTTCAAATCCTTCAAGTTATAAGTTGGTTCATCGCAAATGGCTGAAGCCACTTTCCCGCAACCCCAAGCGTCACAAGCCCTTCTAAGTCTCTTGTAAGCCCCATATATACGCCGCCCCAACAAGCCTCTGCCCTTAGGGAGATATCACCCCGATCTGGACCCCCCTTCCTCAACCCGTCTCAATCCTTTCTGTACCCTAAACGCCAGATGCCTTTGAAGGCTATGTCGACAACGGCGGACTCTGCGCTGTCCCCAAGCGCCACGAGGGCCGCGTGGCGATGCGCGCCACGCAGAAGCTGGTCACCGGGAAGCAAAAAGAGCCCAGGGTGGACAGGCTAAGGTCTCACATGAATTGCTTCATGGCATATGTAGATTATTTACTGCAAGATCAGAAACTTGAGAACATCTCAAATTCTTTAAATGTCTGAATTCATGTGGGTTCAGGGTTAGGGTTTCATAAGAGTCCTACAGGGATTCTAGAAAGGTCCCATAAAGCTTCAGTAGGTAGGAGCTCAAGGTTTAGAGTTTCGTGAGCAATAGGGTTCAGGGTTTATCCGACGTCTACCACATCCTTGAAGCCGGGAGGATTGAATGGCCGAGCACCTGAATACCGTCCTTAACCCCAAATAACCTACCTTTCTAGGGACTTGTATAAAGACATCATCTTAGGGGGGGGCCCTAAAAAGCTAGGTTGCTTAGGGTCCAGGTAAAGACTATATACCATAATTCCCACAATTTAGGGTCCTTAAGGTATTGCAGGATTTATACCATCCACCGTAGCATCAGCTTTAGCCTCGGACCTAAAAGAGGCGAGCGCTGAACTCTAGAACTTTCAGCTCTGCACTGAGCCTCCTCAACGTCTCCAAGCATAAACTTGCCTTCGACTTACCTTTGGTTAGTTGGGATTGTAAGGGTTACTATAAGGGATCTATAAGGTTACTATAATATAGGGGCCTTAATAATCCTATAACTTACCTTTGGTTAGTTGGGAATGGAAGAATGGTAGCAATAGTAGTTATACTTGTACCCCGTTCCTGCATTCCCTACTAACCAAAGGTAAGTCAAGCTCTTGAAGCCTAAAGCCTAAAGCTTTACGAGCGACTTCTACTTCCGTTTGCTCAACCTTTCTAGAGTCAAAACCCATTTCGTGCTCAGGACCTTGAACCAAGACCTTGAGCCTGAAACTGCTTGAAACCCTGCAATCCCTAAACCCTATTTAGGCCCTAAAACTCTGAACCCCCGAACCCCAAAAACAAGAGTTTCGGTGATTCCGAAACCTTGAAAAACTCCTATAATAGAGCCTTAAGAGGAACCTTACCGGAACCCTCAAAGGAACCCTTGCAGTAGGCCTTATAGTGCCCTTAGAGGAACCTTACAGGAACCCTATGCTGTGGGGCCCTATACCCTAAACCCTAGACCCTAAACCCAAAACCCAAAACCCTAAACCCTAAACCCAAAACCCTAAACCCTAAACCCAAAACCCTAAACCCAAAACCCTAAACCCTAAACCCTAAGAGCATCCAGGCCGAGGGTGACTACGTGGAGCTCGAGACCTATCCTAAGGAGTCACTCGACCCGGTTTAAGGCTTATAGTTTTTTTTTTTTTTTTTTTTTTCCAGGGCTTTTGGGGTTTTGGGGGTTTATAGGTCGTAAGGAGTAGCTCGGTCCGGCTTAAGGCTTATAGTTTTGTTTTTTAGGGCTTTTAGGGTTTTTGGGGTTTATAGGGTCTGAAAGGTGTATAGGGTTTGTTGGATTTCAAGATTTTAAAGTGTAGGAAAGTTTAGGGCTCAGAGACTTATAGGATTCATTTCTTTGGTGTGTAGGGTTTATCGGGTTTAGGGCTTTTGGGGCTTTATGGGGCTTATAGGGTTTGTCGAGTTTATAGGGTTTACTGGTTCAGGTTTTGTATACGGTCTAGATTTTGTTGTTGTGAGGACTGGGCCTCTGTCGTTGCTCCCTGCGATCTTCGGTTTCGTGCCCGGAGAATGTTGGTGTTCCCTGGACCCTTATAGGCCCTAAACCCGAAACCTTAACCCTATAATACCCTAAACCCTAAACCCCTATAAGCCTTGGCCCCTCAGCCCTACTCCTGAACCTTAAACTGACATCACAAACTCTACGAACCCTTTGTGCAACAGCTTGTGGCAGCTCCGAGCGGAAAAGGCGTTTCCGAGAGTTAAGGGTCTCCTTTTTGGGAGTCCTTAGAAAGAGGATCTCGTTGTTGAGTGTCTTTGGGGTGTAAGGCTTATCAGGGTTTAGGGTTTAGGACGGCCTTCGGGTTTAGGCGATTAGGATCCCCTACGGTACTTTGCTTAACTTCTGCGGTTTCGGTTTTGCGCTGAAAGACTAGGATTGAGGGTTTTGCTGGCAAAGATTGTTTTTTTTTGGCGTTTAGGGTTACCCACAGGCCCCAAAGTAGTTCCTTGTTGAGATTACCTTATAGGATTCTATATATGAACCCCAAAAAGGAACTACTTTGGGGCCTCTGGGTACCCTAAACCCTCAACCCTAAACCCTAAACTCGAAACCCTAAACCCTAAACCCATCGAGCCCCCGAGCCGGCGTAGTTTTCAGTGGAGGTCCGAGGATGCCCCCACACTTCACCCCGGACCTCAATTCCCAAGTCCCAAGCATACACCTAGGGGTCATACGGGGATCTATAGGGTTTCGATATATGGGTATATGGTTTAGGGTTCATGGGTAGTTATAAGTAGGGTTATAAGTAGGGTAACTATGCTTATAACCCATATTAGGGGACTTATCACCCTACTTACAGCTATGCTTGAACCTCCAAGTACACCTAAGGTGTTCAATCCGTGGGCCTTGAACTCTACTCAAACGAACAGCGGACTTAGAAGCTTGGATTCAAGTAACTAGAACCGTATTTGTTGAGTAGTCCGAAGAAAGTACATGTGGGAGTTTCCGAAAATAGGGGGAACAGGATATAGTACCCTAAATAGTAGGATCCTAATTACAAGGACCCCAAAATAACGTATCCTAATTTTCGGAAACTCCCATATCACAAAGCCCGCATTTGATCCCTGTGAAGCTCCCTGCGACCCCCCAAACCCTTACACAACCAAGCCCCCCAAACCTTCACCCTAAACCCTACACCCTGAAATAGGCTTTTCGCCGGTCGTTGGAGACTTCAGGCACGAGGAATAAGGCGTTCAAGAACAACGCGTAACCCTAAACCCTAAACCCCTAAACCCTAAACCCCTAAACCCCTAAACCCTAAACCCTAAACCCCTAAACCCCTAAACCCCTAAACCCCTAAACCCTAAACCCTAAACCCCTAAACCCCCAACCCAATCAACCCCACACCATTAATCACAGAGCCTCCGAGGATGGAGATGTCTCCGTCTGTGCCGTTCCTCCGCTATCCCCAGGTCCTGAAGCTTGGCTTTGTCTCAAGGGATCTCAAGGTGGTGGGATGAGGGTAGATAGCTAGGTGGCAATTTGGTAAACTTTTTAATTTCCCTTATGGTTCCTATAGAGGTACCTATTCATAAATACTTTTCAGAGCCCCAAAACTACAACCCAGATAGGATGAAGTTTAGGTAACAGGGGTTTGCTTTGTTTTTTTTGCGTTTTAGTGTTTTTTGGAAGGGGGGGTTGCTTTTTTGGGTGGGGTTGATTGGGTTGAGGGTTTAGGGGTTTAGGGTTTAGGGGTTTAGGGTTTAGGGTTTAGAGGTTTCGGATTTAGGGTCTGGTTATCAAGGATCCCGTTAGTAAGGACTCCGATCCCGATTCCCCCGCCCACCTTCTTGGGTTTGGGCATTCGGTTTAGGCTTTAGAGTTTTGGATATTTTGGATATTCGTTTTGGGGGCTTGGGGTTAAGGGTTTCGAGTTTAGGGTTTAGGACTTCGGTTTAGGGTTTTGGGTTTCACTTGTTTGCTATTGGAAAGCCCAAAGCACGAAGCCTCAGAAGCTTTAAACTTTTGGCTCGCGAACCTTGTCATATTTGCAAAAAGGGACGCCCAACAGGAATCCCCCTAAACCCCAATCCCTAAAGGCAGGCTGTGCAGTGACTGCCGCGTTCAAGTTCCTGAAACTCTAAACCCTTATAGGAACCCTAAGCCTTAGCGGAGCCCTTAAATGAGTCCCTACTTATAGATCCCTGAAAGGAGTCCGTACATAAATCCCTATAGATCCTTTACAGGAGCCCCATATTGTCTTTAAACCCTAAACCCTATACCCGGCATTATCTTTAACAGCAGCCCAGGAAGGGCTGGGTCGGTGAGGAGAAGGGCTTTGACCCCCTGGGTGTCACGGACGCGCTGCCGGTGTACTGGGTCCGCGAGGCTGGGTTACAGGGGGTTTTGGGGTTCAATGTTTTAGGGTTTAAGGTTTCAGGGTTTAGGGTTTGAAATTTTCGAGTGTAGGTTTAGAGTTTGTGGTTTCGGGTTTGGGGTCTAGGGTTTGAGTTTCGGGCGCAGGTTCAGGCATTTTAGGTTTGAGGCGAGGGTTTCGCGTTTAGGGTGCTGGGAGCTTGGGGTACGGTGTGCGTGTTTTCTTCTAATGTGCTAATATGGGGGTTCTTTTGAGGTGTGTTGCCATACCGCATAGTCACGGCATATTTTCTAAGCCGTACTATGATAACCTTCCCTACTCGGAGAACTTTAAACCAGTTGAGGGTCAGGGGCTCGCATTCGGTCTTGGTTTAGGGCGGCAGCTTGCCCGGCGTTTTCTTGTCACTGCTTTTGCCTTCCTGGGTTTAATTGGGTTTTCATGTGTTGTCAATATTGTGGTCCCTTTTTGGATCCCTGATATGGTATGGCAGCTAATATTTAGGGCACCCAAAAAGGGACCATAATTTTGACAGCCACCCATGTAGAGTCAGTCATCTTCGTGACACTGTCCTGCTGTCATTGCGATGAGTAGGTGCTGTTGCCACCCATGCTGCAGTCGAGGGTTCAGTGTCGCGATGCCCGGACAACCCAAATGACTGATGACCTCATACGCAAACGGATCCGTACTTGGCGGAGAAGCAACCAGCAAAAGTGGGATGTCGCAAACACTTGAATCTTGAGATCCTTCTGTTTATGTCTCGATTAGCTGCAGTCTGTGCCTTTATTTCGGCTGTTTTGGCCAAACTGCATGTGTCAAACGTGGACTCAAAAAGCTTCCTGACGTCTAAAGCCGTCTGTTTCAAGCTGTGTCCTCTGTTTGATAGCCCTTTCAATGGCGGATCCCTGGGATATTGACGACCCCTGGAGTGCTGCTCTTCGTGCAGCTCCACATCGCGCGATGCCGCGGATGTGGCGCCCCCCGGATCCGTGGGCTCTTGAAGACCCATGGAGTGCTGCAGCACGGCGACTTCAACGAGCTAGGAACCCACGGGAAGATGATGGAAACGGAGGGGACGGTCCCAATCAGAGCGGCGAGGCTGCGCATGTTAGTGGAAGAGGTGGCGCTTGCATCCGAGTTTATCGCTTGAACGGGGAGCTCCTGGAAGTCCCTCTTACAGCCCAGGAGGCCAGCAATGTGATGTCGAACAGAGACTTGAAGCAATGCCTTGCCAGGAACGATCGCAGTGACTTTGCCAGTCTTTGTCAGCCCTTTGACCTTTTGGGTGCCGATTTGATGGCTTGTTCAGGGTTTAGTTTTTTCCGTAGCCTGACAGCTGGGTAAGTTTGGGCTCACCCCCATGTTTTTCTTTGAGATGCTCCACTACCACGATGACAGAATAGCAGCAGCACAGGTATCCCTGCAGCGCCCTTCCTCATTTGCCAGATGCGATTGATCCTTGGCCGGTCTGGGATGTTTTTGTGTTTTATCAGTCCGCATCCTTACCCAGACCTCAACCCTAAACCCCAAGCCTGAGACCCCACCCTAAACCTTCGCCTTCATGGAGTTACACACAGTAGCATACACTAAACCCCAAACTCCTGTTAGTCTAAACCCTACACCCCAAACCCTAAACTCCTATGAGCCTTAACCCTAAACCCTAAACTTCTAAACTTCTAAACCCTAAAACCCCGAAAACCCTGATAGGGCCCCCAGCAAGATCCCAGGATCCACATGACAGCGGCCGGGAGCTCGAGGATGGTCCTGTTCACTGGGAGTGGTTGCAGGAAGGTCGAGCCGGAGTCGAGAGGGCCTGGGAATTAGGGTTTAGGTTCCATAGGGTCTATAGGGTCTTTCGGATTTAGGGTTTAGGGTCTATAGGGTTTAGGGTTTAGCGCTTATAGGGTTTAGTGTTTAGGGTCTATAGGGTTTAGGCGTTTAGGGTCTGTAGGGAATTAGGGTTTAGGGTTTAGGGATTGGGAATTAGGGTTTAGGGTTTAGGGGTTCAGGATAGGATCTATAGGGTTTAGGGTTTAAAGGGTTTAGGGTTTAGGGTTTAGGGTCTATAGGATTTAGGGGTCTAGGGTCTATAGGGTTTATGGGTTTATGGGTTTGGGGTTTGAGGGTCTAGGGTTTAGGGATTGGGAATTAGGGTTTGGGGTTTTAGGTCTATAGGGTCTATGGGGTCTTTTGGGTTTAGGGGTTCAGGGGTTTAGGGTCTGTAGGGTTTAGGGGTTGGGGTTTAGGGGTTTGGAGTTGAAGGTCTGGGGTTTAGGGTTTTAGGGTTGAGGGTCCATACTATTGATGATATAAATCCTGCACTTACCCATAATAAGGAATATACCATTATTCCCATAGTTTACTGAATTTCTAAGTCCCATGATACTTGAAGTAGGGTCTATAGGGTCTCTTAGGATTAGGGTTGAGCGCCTATAGGGTTCAGGGTTTAGGGTCTTGGGTTTTAGGATTTAGGGTCCGTAGGGTCTATACTTAAAGGATCATGGGACTTCGTAACTAAGGTCATTATTAGGGTAACTATACTTATAGCTACTTATAACCCCAAGTAAGGTACAAAAAACCTTAAGTACTAAGTGTCATGATCCTCCAAGTAGGGTTTAGGGTCCATAGGGTCTCTTGGGATTAGGGTTTCTCCTACAGGGTTTAGGGTTTAGGGTCTATAGGGTTTATGGGTTTAGGGGTTTGGAGTTTAGGGTCTAGGGATTAGGGATTGGGATTTTAGGGTTTAGGGGTTGGGGCTTAGAGGGTCTACAGGGTTTTTAGGGGTTCAGGGGTTTAGGGTCTATAGGGTTTAGTTATTGGGGTTCGGGGGCCTAGAGTTTAAGGTTTGGGGTTTAGGGGTGTGGGGTTTAGGCCTAGGGTTTAGGGCTTAGGGGTGCTGCGTGGTGCTTTCGGCTTGGGGGTCTGGCTTTCGGGTCTATACGGTTTGGTGTGTGGTCTTAGGGCTGCTTGATGTTGACAGTGTTGGCTGTATTATATGGCTCGGGAAACGTGCAGGTGACACCTTTGAGATAAGTTGGTACTATAGGGGCCTTAATAATTACCTTTACTATTTTTTTCGGGGGGTACTTAATATAGGTATAGTATAGTGGGCCCCAAAACCCTATTCTGATTCTTAAGGCCCCTGTAGTAAGTTTCCTGCTCTTTGCGTGCCAACCACGGCTATGAAAAGAGGTAGTACCCGCACTTGAAACATTCTAGATGAGACGTGGTTCAGTTTCATGTACCCTCCTCATCTGGACGGGAGGCTCGATTCAGTACCTGATTCAGCCGGACGTGATGTCATCTGTTGTAGAAGAGCTACCGCCCAGGGATGAGTTGGTCTTCTGCTACAAGGACCTCAACGAGCTGCTGGATGCGAAGCTCATTTTGTCGTTTGCTTTCAGAATTTGCAGGCAACGGGGCCAAGCCTTCCTGTACCGTGTCTTCGCTGCCTGGAGCACGGCGATCTGTAGCCTTCCGCAAAGCGAGGTGAATGCTGTGCCAGGCCGCTTGTCACGGGCCGCTGAAAAAAGCTTCCTTACTCGCTGCTTGGATCTGCTTCACCTGGAAGCGGCTGACTTCCATGACGGGCACTTGCCTGGGGAGGCCTTCGTCGAGTTCCTTCGCTGGATGTGTGCAACTTCGACGATTGATCTGGTCATGCTGAAGATGGATGTTGCCACAGTGGAGAAATCCTTCCCTATTCAGCATGAGATAGTGAAAAGCCAGATGTGGAAGCTTGTCAAGGGAGAGAAGCCTCCCTACAGGAACCGCCCGAACGACGTCAGGGGTGGTCTCAGCTCCGGGCTGGGAGCAGAACTGCTGATGGCGCTCATCGAGAAGGGCTTGCCGAGATGGTGCTGGGCTGGCTGCATAGGCCCTTTCAACGACAACCTTCTCCAGTATATCCTTGAGCCAGCAGACCGAGGGGTAGCAATCGACGCCGGGAAAGCCGTTGCCGAAGGGAGGCTTTGCATCTTCCTGGCTCGAAACTTGAGTCTGGAAGAGCTGTGCCATCAGAACCAGGATCGAAGAAATGCTTTGTCCTATGCTGAAGACTTTGCCGAGCACTACGAAGCGGTGCCTATGCTTGCAGGGCGTGGAGACGTGTGGATCGAAGCTTGGTTCTTGTCGAGGAGCTCTGTTTAAGCTGCGGCAACAGGGATACAGAACGATAGCACATCGGTTTTATAGAAACTTACCTAAATTCCGTTGAAACCTGGTAAACCACTTTACAGGCTCTTGTGAAACTTGATAAAAACCCTGGTGCACCCTGGCAAACCCTCATCACCCCGCTATGAAGATCCTTTAACTAACTTTAATTTGGGAGTTTCCGTGGGTACCCTGTTTTGGGATCCTTTTAATGAGGATCCTACTATTTAGGGTACTCTATTAGGGTCCCCTATTTTCGGACACTCCCACTTGCATCAAGTTTATGCAGCAACAGCCCAGGCGGTGCGTGATGTGATCCGCACGGAGATGGAGGCTCAAACCCTAAAGCCTAAACAAGCCACCCGAAGCCATCTGTAAGCCCTAAACCGTAAACCCTATATGTAACCTCTAGACTCTAAACCCTAGGCCCTAAATATAAACCCTCGACCCTAAAGCACATGTCAAGACCCCAAATCCTATGTAAATTCGAGACCCTAAATCCTAATATAAACCCTGAGCCCTAAACCAAATGTTAAACCCTACAGAAACCCGATGTAAAATTTAAAGCCTTAATCCTAATATGAACCCTGAACCCTGAACCATATGGGTAGTTGTCAACAGTAAGGTCCTTTTTTGGGAACCCTAAATATTAGGTGCCATATTAAATTAAGGACCCAAAAAGGGACCCTAATTTTGACAACCACCCAAATGTTAAACCATAAGCCTAGGCTCGCACGCGCACTTTTCAGGGCGACCTCCTGCAGCTCGCGGAGCTCGCGCGCTCGGCGCGAGCGGGCCTCGGTGGCCACCGGGCCCGAAGTTGCGTTTAGGGTTTAGGGTTTCAGGGTTTAGGGTTTTGCGCTTTCTTGGGGGGTTTAGGGTTCTGAAATAGGGTCCGCTTTAAAGGGTACCATAGGATTCTACAGGGTTTAGGGTTTAATGGGGGCCAGGCAAGGTTACGGCTAGAGTTTCCAATAGGCTCCCCTTTGAAGGGTACTGTAGGATTTCTGAATAGGGTCCCCGTTAAAGGGTACGATCGGATTCTATAGGGTTTAGGGTCTACTTAGGGGCTAGGCAAGGTTAGGGTTAGGGTTAGGGTTTTCAATAGGTTCCCCTTTGAAGGGTACTATAGGATCTCTGAAATAGGGTCCGCTTGAAAGGGTACGATCGGATTCTATAGCGTTTAGGGTCTACTTAGGGGCTAGGCAAAGCTTAGGGTTAGAGTTTTCAATAGGTTCCCCTTTGAAGGGTACTATAGGATTTTTTGGGTTGTGGGGGCTAGGCAGGGGCTTCAGGGTTGGGGTCTAGGATTAGGGTTCAGCAATAAGGTTTAGGGTTTAGGGTTTAGGGGTTAGGGTTTAGGGTTTAGGGTTTAGGGTTTAGGGTTTAGGAATAAGGTGTGGCGTTTTTGCATGAGACGTGTTTCAGAGTTCAGGGCAGGTTTCTTTGAGGGTTGTGGTGTTGTTTGAATGCCTTTTGCTTATACTTGTGTGGTTCGTGTGTCGGCAGGTAGAGTTGATCTCCCCGCTTTCGACGACGAAATCTGGCGACGAGCCGCAACTGTGCGCGAAGAGTGGTTGAGGCAGAGACAGCTCTGAATCTTGAGCCAGGAAAGTAGCAAGCTGGGCCAGGAGCCCTAAAGCCCTGAATCCTAAACTCCTCAAGCTTCGACGCGTAGAGACCCTAGAAAAGTAAACCCTAAGACCTGTGACTGACCCCCTGAAGGATGGGTTGGAGGTTCCTGGAAGGTACCGAATGCGCGCAGATCTCCGAGGTTCTGAGTTGGCATCTCCAAGCCGTGGGGCGTGGAATCCGATGACCTCGTCGCTCTTTCTGATTAGGGTTTCCCCTCGCTTTCATACGGGTGGTTGTCCAAATTGGAGTCTCCCAAATTGTAGGTTGCCGTATTAAGAGTAGAATTATATTGGGATACAGGTGCCTGAAGGACTAGTGATGGTAGTCTTGAGTTCCAAACTAGATGTGCGCTATACCACATCCGGATAAAGCAGGTTTCCATAGCCGGCCCAGGAAAACCCGAAACCTAACCCTAAACCCTAAACCCTCAACCCTAAACAATTCCTGGAGCGAACCGCAACTTTCATCGTTGAACCCTGGAGCCCTGTCCTTTTAATATAAGGGTACTATAGGGTTCTATAATGGGGTTCCTTAAAGGGATCTATAGGGGTTCTATAATGGGGATCATGGGACTTAGTAAGTAAGGTTATAAGTACCTAACCTACTGCTTCGACTTATTCAGTACAGTACCCGTCTCTCTGCACAGTGAACTAGGATTCTTTCGTCTTCTTTAGGGTTTAGGGTTTAGGGTTAGTTCACACCACTAGCCCTAAGCTTTGAACCCGAAGCCCTAGTCACTACAAACTTGGCAAGCCGGCCAGCAGAAGTTTCTCAACCGGCGCCGCACTCACTCATGTACAAAGCTCAGCTTCTAGTTCCTTGTTGTGCGTAGGTTTGGGGCTGTCGGGTTTAGGGTTTAGTTTGTGTCCTGCCCTGGTGAAAGGTTCGGAGCCATGAAAACTCTCTGGCTTTAAGGTCGGGTTTAGGGTGTAGGGTTTAGGGTTTAGAGCTTACAGCTAAAGTATCTCATGGCGGCATATGAAACGTGATACTTAGCATGCAGGACTAGCATTGACACCTGCCCCGAAGCTTCAGCTCATTCGCCCTATGGAAGCAGAAATGGTTGCTCAGTTTAGGCTTTAGGATACTATAGGGGCCTAAACAATTACCAACACTAATTTGGGGGTTCCTTATTGTAATTATAGTATACTGGGCCCCACGACCTGGAATTGTCGGAGCCGAGTGTCCGACGTGCAGTGCATGCAGAGAAAGTGGGCCGAAACTGCTTCTTCATGCTTCGCACACCATGTCTTCAGACGCCTGCAGGCGATGCAAGGAAAAGAGCGCTTCCGAATTGCTTCGGCGATAAGGCCTAAGCCCGTAAACCCCCTAAACCTTGGCCTTCAAACCCCAAAACCTGCAGCGCGGTAAACCCTAAAACTGCTTGAGCCCCCGTTGAACCCAGAAGTACCCTAAGCCCACAAGCACCCTCAGCCTTAAAAGTGCGCTCTCGTGTCGCAGAGGCCGAGCTCAAGCACGGACGCATCGCCATGTCTCTCGGCCGAAGCTTCTGAGGCACTCTGTGACCATACGCAGAGGCAGCAGAACCCTGAACCCTAAACAGAACCCTGAACCCTAAACCCTAAACCCTATTTAAGGCTGGTGCTTCGGCGTGTCGAAGACTTCGCAGCCAAGAATTTAGCCGCAATCTCGAACCCAGAGCTTGCTATAGGGGTCGGAATGCTAAGAGATAGTATTCCCCAAGATGCCGTGCTGTCATGATGGGACCCCTTCAAAACTCTAGGGACCCAAGTCTACATGTTAAGGCCCTAATATAACATCTCCACCCAGGAGTTTCCACTCCACACAGGGGCAATAAACCTTAAACCCTGAGCTCTAAACCCCAAAACCTGCTCCAAAGAGTGGATAAAGAGTCAGTGCACTTCAAAAAAAAACACCCTAAACCCTAAACCCTAAACCCTAAACCCTAAACCCTAAACCCTAAACCCCCAAAACCCCTAAACCCTAACCCTGAGCTCCTAAACCCGGAGCCCTAAACCTCAAAGCTCCTATATTCGAAACCTTAAAGCTAGAGTCTCCTTCGGACTTCTTTCTTTTCTCCTACATTCTGTTCATACAAAACCCAAGAGATTCTCTGGGGTTTAGGGTTTAGGGTTTAGGGTAATCTTCTGAAGATTAACGATACTATTTTTATTCATGGTTCTGAGGGGGGGGGGTATAGAAAGTTCCCCGACCCGACCCTTCGACCCTGCACACTAAGCCCTGGTATCAAACGACACCACAGCGCTCAACAGTGCGAACAGGTTTTTCTTTTTGGATTCAGGGTTTAGGGTTCAGAGTTTAGGGTTCAGGGTTTAGGGTTCAGGGTTTAGGGTAGAAACACCCAGTACACGACTCTTTTCGAAGCGCAGTGCCCATGCCCCGAAGCACTCACGCAGCAATAAACCCTAAGCTTACCCTAAACCCTAAACCCTTAACCCACAAACCTTAAACCCTAAACCCATAAACCCTAAACCCTAAGCCCTAAGCTTACCCTAAACCCATAAACCCTAAACCCTAAGCCTACCCTAAACCCTAAACCCTGAACCCTAAACCCTAAGCCCTAAGCTTACCCTAAACCCTGAACCCGCCTAGCATCCTTCAAGCCGCAAGCCCTCGCGGGCATGAGCTTTCCCAAAGCCCTACCGGACAACAAAAGCAGTTTAGGGTTTAGGGGTTAGGGTTTATGGGTTTAGGGTTTAGGGTTTAGGGTTTATGGGTTTAGGGTTTAGGGTCGAGGGTTTCGGGTTTAGGGTTTAGGGTTTAAGGGTTTAGGGATGTAAGCTTCCAACTCCCAATCCTTGCAGCCCGAACCCTGATTCAGGGTCCCTGAGCCCTGATTCCTTAAACCCACAAGAGAGCCTGCACAAAGAAACCCTTAGGGTTTAGGGTTCAGGGTTTAGGGTTTATGGGTTTAGGGTTTAGGGTTTATGGGTTTAGGGTTTAGGGTTTAGGGTTTAAAAAGCTAGTCTCTGAACCCTTCAGGTTGTGTTTAGGGTTTGAGGTTCTCCTATAAACCCTTAGCCGACTGTTGCTTTCCCCGAGGCTGGCGACAGTGGGCTGGATCGCCACTGATCTCGGCTTCCGTTTCCCCGGCGAGAAGTTCCAGGCACACTCTTGTGACAGGGTTCTGTGAAGGGCTTTTCAACTTAGTAGCTGAGTGGATACACCTTACACTTCTTGGGATAATGTTGCCCCCTATAAAACTGAAAGTGTACACTTTTTGGGGGTTATGAACTAAGTCAAGGGTCCTATAAGAGTTACTATCAGGGCTCTGGAAGGATTCGATGATCTACGGGCCTCAGAACTCCCAGGCACCACTTTGCTCTGATGTTATGCCTTTGGTTTGCAGTCCAGGGCTTAGGATTTTAGGGATATCAAGATAACTTTTGATGTGGTGTGTTATGTGCGTAAGTGGCATAAGCTTGCATTCCTGTTGTCAGAGCTTTGTTTTTCTTTTTTGGGCTCGGCGTTTCAAGGGCTTTTGGGGTTCTGTGCAGCGTCCTACACGCGGGCGGCCCATGACCCTTTCTTTGCTGATGGTTGGTAGGTTGTATGAGAGCCCAATAGCAACTACTTCAAACATTAAGCGGTAGGGTCCTTATATATGGATCCGTTCATACGTAGTTTCGGGTATGTTGGAAACAGTTGTAGACTTGAAGAATTGCAAGGACCCATGCATAACGTATCTGTAGTTTCAAGATGCTCTCACATCTTGCTTGCATGAGTCGGACATGTTTAGCAAGGCTTCTTGCAGCTGATTTCCTAAAGTTTCCGGTGCTTGGACGGCGAGTCTCGTAAGGTAGCAATATTCGAAATCAGGGGTTCGCTGTCTGGGCAGGGTTGGAAACCCTCAACGCCAAACCCTAAACCCCCAGAGCCTAAAGCCTAAACCCAAAGCATAAAGGCCTTCAGCCTCTTATAGGAAACTCCAGAAAGTTGGAATATGGTTTCATGGTAGGATACCCTATAATTTGCCATAGCAGGGTTAGGATAATCATATTCCAACTTTCTGGCTTTTACCTTAAGCCTTGAGCTCGGACACCTGAGGCCTAAAGTCTCAATGCCTTTGAAGATAACATATTCAGAAGTCCTCATCAAACCCTGTGAATCAGGAATACGGTGGATAATATAAATCCTGCATTACCTTAAGGACCCTAAACGATGGGAATTATGGAATATTCCTTATTATGTGTAATGCAGGATTTATATCATCACTCGTGGTTCAAGATTATCTTGCTCAGGTGTTGACCTTGTCGTAGCCCGAGAACACACCCTTCAGTGAGCCTTACAGAAACCCAAGTCCAATTTGTTGGGGTTTTAGGTTCTACTGTTGATGATATAAATCCTGCATTACCCATAATAAGGAATATTCCATAATTCCCATAGTTAGGGTCCTTAAGGTAATGCAGGATTTATATCATCCACCGTAGGGCTTGCAGCGTTTCGGGTTCTTGAGAGACTTTTACGGTAGAGAGATTTGGGCCTCGAGCTCCCCTTTCTGCCAGAAAAACTAGGATGCCCAGTAGTACCCTTATTCCCTTTTTGTAGTCCTAGGTTCCTTATAAAGTTACCCAATACCAAAAAGAGAGGCCTTTTTATTCCTAGGTTACTGGGTATCCTAGAAAATGAATTGCAACCAAAGCCCCAAACCGCGTAGACAGCCCCAAAGCCTAAACTCGAAGCCTTAATCCATCTAATCTATGAGTTTAATGTCATGGCCTTTTTAGCGGTTGTGCTCGAAGGCAATAGAGGGGTCCGAAGAATAAGTGACAACATCCCCGACATTGATATAGTAACATCGACCTACCCTAAACCCTAAACCTGGGTTTAGTTTGGGGTCTCAGGGTTTGCAGAGGTTTAGGGCTTTTTGAGGGCTTTTGCGGGATTTGTAGTTTTAGGGTTTGTGGGTTTGGGATTCGGGGCCCGCCACTCAAAGTGGGACGTGAGGCCGTCGCCAATTCCGTGGAGGCGCATGACAAGATGCTTGGCTTGCCCTGTTTCTATCGAGGGATCCCACTTGACTTGGATGCAGACTTGAGGTAGGGCTTAGGGTTTAGGGCCCTAAACCCTAAACCCTAAACCCTGGGGTAAAGGCTATCTTACTTCACTTGATTCGTACTACAAGGTTCACAACAAAAGCGATCAGATCTGTACTTGCGCATCCATGCCTCGGATAGGTCGCGGGGGTTGTGACCGGGAAGAAGGAAGCACAATAACTCCTGTAGGGGGCCTAAGTAATAGCCAATACTGGTTTCGGGGTTCCTTATCATAAATGTAGTATATTGGGCCCCAAACCCTATTCACCTTTTTCAGGGCCGCCGTATTAGGCTTGTCATGTTTCGAAGTGTCACACCAGCAGTATCAGCTGTTGAGCCAATCCGCCAGTCAGGAACCTGCTGCATTCTGGGCCGATTAGAGCCTTCTAGAGCATATACTTGAAACCCTAAACCCTAGACCGTGGCATTATGTTCTAAAGTAAAAGCCAGAAAGTTGGAATATGATTCTCCTAAACCCTTTATGGTAAATTACAAGGTATACCCTGAAACCATATTCCAACTTTCTGGAGTTCCCTTTATTGTTGTATTTTGGATAAGAGCCTGCTGGATGCTGGGGTACCCAAGGCTGGGGTTCCTAGAAACTACTCGCGAAAAGGGGCGGGTGCATGCCGGGGGCATCTTGCAGTCTGTAAGCCGCATCTGCGAAACTCCAGGCCACAAATTCCGCAAACCCTGAACCCCACATCCCTTAAACCCTTCACCGCAACAACCCCCTAACCCTCCACCCCACCGCCCCCCCCAAAGCGATATACCACAAATCCGAGAAAGAGGATGATGGAGGCCGGATACAGAACCCTAAGCCCCAACACCCCGGACACCCCCCAAATCCCCGAAACCGTAAAGCCTAAATCCAAATTCTGAGGAGCCCTAAACCCTAAACCTCTAAGCCCCTAAGCCCCTAAAACCTTACACGTCTAGACCCCTAAAAGCCCTGAACCCCCCATAGATTCCTTATAGACCCCCTTTTAAAGGAACCCTTATGGATCCCTTTAAAGGAACCCTTATGGATCCCTTTAAAGGAACCCCCTCTGGATTCCTTTAAAGGAGGCACCCCTATAAATCCCGAGGATGGTGGAGGCCGGCTACATGCTCCCGTTCTTCGGGGCCATTGGCATCTTCGAGCTCTTCGCTCTGCTCTCTTGGCCGAAGTAGGCTTTGAGGTTAGGGGTTCCTTTAAAGGGGTCTATGAGGGTTCCTTTAAAGGGATCGATGAGAGGCCCTTTAAAGGGATCTATGAGGGTTCCTTTAAAGGGATCTAGGGGGTTAGGGTTCCTTTAAAGGAATCGATGAGGGGCCCTTTAGTTCCTTTAAAGGGATCTAGGAGCGGCCATTTCGTTCTCTTACAGGGATCGATGAGGGGCCCTTTAAAGGGATCTAGGGGGTTTAGGGTTTAAGGGAAATAGATTCGGTTTAGGGTTTTGCTGTTCGGCCGAAGAGATGTTGTCGGCATGTGTTTTCTGTTGGGATGGGGGTTGGATGCTCGTTGATCATCATCATCGTCACTGTCATGATCATCATCGCCATTTCCATCATCACCAGCATCATGAACATCACCATCACCATCACCATCATTTTCGTCATGACCTTCACCATTAGATTACCATACATCGTAACTCCAGTTCTGCCAGCGAAGGCTAGAACCTAGACCCTTCTTTCGGCCACACTGAAGCCAGCCACGCACCTTCCACTTCTCGAAAGCATGCCAGGGCCGACCTCAATGCTGAAATCGGCAGAAGCCCTTCAAACCCGTGCAGAAACTCGAAATCCTAGATAATGTATTTAATATATGATTTGTAATGTATGATATGTAATATTTCATACATAACTTGTAACATATACTAGGAGGTATACAGTATATACAAACTATATAACATATAGACCACTCACACCACACAACACTAAACTTAAAAAAACCTTAGCCTGGCACGCAGGACAAGTCGATGAACTGAAATGTGAAGGAATTTGCCGAGCCGCTAACTACTTCCGATGGGCTTGCTTCGGTTTCTCAAGCACCTCTCTGCGCGCTAGATCTAAATACTGGGCCATTTTTTTGGATCGTTTCTACTTTTGTGTGGTTGGGGTTTCCTAATTTTTCAAAATGACTCTCCAAAAGGGATCCTGTTTTTTTTGTAATTTTTCCTTCCCATCAGGAACCCAATAAACACCCAATGCAGCACAGCTCGATCTTAAGGCGCACGCCAAACCGTTGCTTGAGATGGAAGGGCCACAGGCTACTATAGGGTTTAGGGTTTAGGGTTTAGGGTATAGGGTTTAAAAAGTTTAGGGTTCAGCATTTCGTTCCTTCGGACGGTATTCAACTCCCGTGAGCAGGCCCTCGACACCCTTTTCAGCTTAGGTGGCTCTTCTTCCAGTCCTGGCCAATTGGTGATGGCATCAACAGGGAGGCGGGCCGCGGGTTGTTGGCCTCTTTTGAGGGACAGGGCATTGGAGAACTGCAAGGGGCCTTCAGAAAGTAAGGAAAGTATATAATCGGAAGATAGCTCTAATCTAACCAACAAAGCGCGCACGAAATAAGATCTTATCATGTTGAGCGTTTCTGGCAAATCTTCGAGATCGGGCTTACACCCATGGGAGAGTGTCGAATGGTTCATTTTAGGGTGTAGGAGATAGTACCAATGTTTTAGAGTTTAGGGCAGTCGCCTGGCTTGAAGGGCATGGGTAGCTTCGAGTAGAGCTATGGTATGTCCATGTATTTTAGTTGGAATAGAGAGGAGCCAGAGGTATGGGAGGTTCCAAAATTAGCGGACTCTAATATAGTACCCCAAAAAAAAGGATCCTTATTATAAGGACCCTAAAATAAGGTACCCCCAATTTTCGGAAACTCCCATATACATGATCCTTCAAATTGCTCTTTGCCAGTTGGGGGTTTGGGGTGAGGGCTGGAGTGCTCAGGGTCTTTCGGCTTAGGGTTTTGGTGTTCTGGATCGGATCTAGGGTTTAGCAGTGTAGCGTTTAAGGGTTTAGGTTTAGGGGTTTATGACTTATGGTTTAAGGGTTTCGGGTTTAGGGAAGAGAGCCCTGTTAACCCCAAGTTCCCTACAAGTGCTATGCAGCACTTTTGGGTTCAGGGGTTTCTGGTTTGGGCTTTAGGGTGTTATATGGGGTTTCAGGGTTTAGGGCCGTTTAGGGTTTATTGATTTCGGTTTAGGGTTTAGGGCCTAGGGGTTTAGAGTTTAGGGTTTGGGGGTTACGGGAGCCTTTACCCCGATCCTCCGTGGTTTGGACGCTTACTAGCCTTCGAAGCCCCAATATGGGAGTTTCCGAAAATTAGGGGTACCCTATTGTTTGGGGGTCCTTATAATAAGGATCCTGCTATTTAGGGTACTATACTAGGGTCCCCTATTTTCGGAGACTCCCATATTTGCCTTTGGAAGGCTGGAGACTACTGGCTGGGCAAGCAGTTCCTGCCCAAGGACCGACCCAGCATTCAGGATTCGGAGATCAAGTTCAGGGTAGGTTTTAGAAGACCCAGTGTAGGATGTCCTTTGATGCAGGCGTTACGTGTTCTTATGCATTGACCCTGGTGTTACAGCTGTTGTTGTATTTCTACACCCAGTCGCGATTGCCATTACCGGCTATCGGTATTGGCACAGTCAGCTAGTGTCGCTGTTCTCACGGCGATTTTGGTATTGCGATTTTTGTGTGGTCTGAATACGATCCTGAACACTAAACCCGAACCTAGATAGAATCTCAATCCCAAACCCAACCGGAGTTGAGCGGTTAAGGTTTTGGAAGATCAGGCACAAGCCTACAGTCACCTCCCAAAGCGTTTTGATTGATGTTGGGCTCCAGGTTGCACACGCCGAGAGCTTCACGGTATCAGGCGAATATAGGGGCCTTAATAATTGCCTATACTAGTCTTTGGGGTTCCTTATTATCATTATAGTAGAATGGGCCTAAAAACCATATTGAAGTTACTAACGCCAAATTTTCCTGCAGACCGCAACCCACACACCCCTCAGATTCTTGATTGCCCTCTGAGCTCTACGGCTTCTGGGTTCCCTACACCCTTGCAAACTCGAAACCCTAAGCCATCGACCCTAAAATCGAAACTTGAACCATAAGCCGTTATGTCATCTCAAGCTAAGCAAAAACACGCAAAACCCTAACACCGAAGCCCTAAACCCTTAACCGTTCCTCTTGAGGACCCTGCGAAGGAGAAGGACATGCGCCTCAAGGACAGGGTGCCTAGGTCCCGGGTCTCATACTGCGCCGGGCCGATAGTTCGACCCACTAGCTTCAACATGCTATAAGACATGGGCCTCCACCCTCTTCCCCATAGACTCCTAACGCAAGTGAGCCTTGGGGCCTCCCCCGGAACTAATAAGATATATATTTTTAAAACGGGGTAGTAGTTACTCCGCTGGCCTGCGTAGGGTAAAGTAGACTTTGAGGTACTCCGCTACTCCGCAAGAGCTTGTATGTCAGATGATGCACAAGTGGGTCGAAACTTTCGGCCCGGCGATGTAGGGGCTCTGGCCTTTGTCTAGAGCCCCTTTAATGGATCCGATCCGATAAGGGATCCTAAGAAGGGTTCCTTTAAGGATTCCTGCCATTCAATCTATGAGGGTTAGGGGTTTAGGCTTCCCGGTGAAGGGCTTACAGGGGCTGTATAACGGTTCCTACAGGGTTTCTTTGGGTTTCTATCAAGAGTCTTTCGAGGGTTTCTAGGTTTTCACACAGGCTAGGTTTTCACACAGGCTTCATCAGAGGTGCCCTTCTACACTCGGACTTGATAATATAGGGGCCTAAATATAGCCACCAATGCTGTGGTGGGAGTTCCGTATTATAACTATAGTATAACAGGCCCCAAAACCTTATTCTAATTACGAAGGCCCCTATAGTAGGGGCTCCACACCTTGGGCCGAGATTATTGAAGCTGGAGATTCAAGGACGCCTTAGGAGCAGTTTGGGGTTGACGGGTGCGGAGCCGAGGGTTTTGATCTATGCGCCTCGATACTCAGAGTAGGATTTCTCTCTCTTTCTCTCTCTCTCTCTCTCTCTCTCTCTCTCTCTCTCTCTATATATATTTTCTACTATATTCAAGTATTGGCTCTAGAGTTGTCATTACTACTTATCTCAAAACCACAAATTGGGAGTTTCCGAAAATTAGGGGTACCGTACTTTGGGATCCTCATAATAATAAGGATCCTACTCTTTAGGGTACTGTATTAGGGTCCCCCTATGTTCGGAAGCTCCCAAATGAGTCTTGCCCAGGGTTTCGACCTCACTCCATGGGTGGTTGTCTAAATTAGGGTCCCTTTTTGGGGTCCTTAATATAATACGGCACCTCATATTTAGGGTACCCAAGAAGGAGCCTTAATTCTGACAACCACCCCCATGAACCTGAGAGCCTCCTCGAAACAGGAGCTGGAGAATGGCCGTCTTGCCATGTTCGCTTTCAGCGGCATCGTGACCCAGGCCACCGATTTCCGGTTGTTCACTGCTTCTGATCCTTTCGGGCTTCAATTTCAGGGTGAGGGTGGGGGTTTCGGAATCAGAGGTTAGGGTTTAGGATTCGGAGTTGGGAGTTTCGGGCGGAGGTGTTCATGGGTTGCTTAGGAGACCCCTGTGTTGCCCCCGAAACTACGGATCCCCATCATGCAAGGCTCCGGGGCTCCGATGAATCCTAGATGACTTTTCAAAAAATTGAAAAGTTTCTGCACATCTTCATAAGGCCACCACTTGGCACTTCCAATTCGTTGATCCTGAAAGCCAAAAGCCTTCGCCCCCTCGCAAAAAGCCAGCGTACTTGCGCCAGGCCGTGATCACCGGCAAGACTTGGCCTTTCATGTGAGCCTTTTCAACGGCTCTTTAGAAGTGTGATTGCATGGGGTTGAGGATTTTCGGTTTTAGGGTTTAGGATGTTTAGTGTTTAGAACTTTTAGAGTTTAGGGCTTTTAGGGTTTTACAGTTTCGGCTTTAGGATTCCGGGCTCTAAAGTGGCCTGCTATTGATGACTCGTTGGGTCGTCAGAAGGAGCTCCGAAGTGAGAAGAGACTGGAGAGCTGCCGTGCCACAGGGGCGATGCCCGGTCCAGATTCTAGTATTATAGCTTTCATGACTATAGGTATGGGTATATATATATATATATATCATCTGTATTTGTATGTATGTATATGTGGATATGTATATGCATTGCATTTCGGAAACAAGCCAAGTGTTCTTTCGGAATTATGGGTGATGGGTGTTGGCTTCGGCTTGAACTTTGAATGTCAAGTGCGGCACGGACAAGGGTTTTGGGATAAGGCAGCGTAGCGCAAGGGCAGCAGCAGGTGCAAAACATGCCTGCGGTGCGCCACAAAAGAAAAGGGAACGACAGCTTCGGTATGCAGTTTGAAGCATGATGATGCTGGTTGATCATCGTTGCATTTTTTTTTGTCACTGTTCGTCTTGTTATGGCCTGTAACTAGTATGGGGTAGCCCTCAGCTTTTCTATACCGGACTCCTGGCCTCTTCGACCTTCTTTGTGGCTGCAATGCATCTCAAGATTGGTCTATGAGGCTCTAAACACCAAGCCATAAACCCTAAACCCTAAACCCTAAACCCTAAACCCTAAACACCAAGCCATAAACCCTAAGCGTTGAATCTCAAGGCCTGGCTGAAGCGCCAGTAGCTTAGATCTTTTCTGTCAGATCTTCAGGGGTGTAAGGCCTGTGAGCTTAGTACCCGAAACGCTGAGGGCTCATGTCTGCAGTCTGGGGTGATGGTATCAGTAGATCAGTAGTCATAAGAATACATACTACTAGTCATGTAGTAAAATTCGAAATCATGCTTTCGGAGTTGGCATTGAGTTTTCCAAGCTTCCTTGTGTTTCTTTCGTTAGTGACCCGCACCTGCTGTTGCAAGGTTTGCCTTGAACCATGCATTCTTGCTGTGCTGCATCTCGAGCTCAGGATGTTGAGAGGACGTTGCAAGCATACAATAGAGGCCTTGGCAACTTCCTATACTATTGTGGGGGTTCCTTATTATGATTATGGTATATTATACCATGCTAGCCCTGTGGCCCCGATTTTCAGGGTTCATTCCCGAGTTTAGCTTACAAGGAACTCGGAGTTGCGGCTGTGTGCCTGCCTGACGGAGCCCTCCGTCGGAGCCTTTGCCCCCAAAATGGAGGGAACACTGGCACTGCGCTCGCCCAATGCCGAGCGCCCAGTGATATCCAGCTCCAAGGGATCCAAGTAGGGCTCTGCATGAGCCCCTTTACATAATACAGGAGTCGTGATGAGTTGGACAGGGTTTTGGAGTAATGTTGCATCGTCATGTAGGGACCATAGTGGGAGGGGGATGCAACTTCTGCCAAGTATTCCTGAGACCCAGGCCGGAAAGCCTGAAATCCCCCCTGTTTTTGTTTGCAAACTGTTCAGGACTTGAGCCGTCATGCAGCAAACCTACCATAGGCTTTTCGGATATTGGGGCTCAGTTTAGCCCAATGCTCTAAGCCCGAAGATGTTGGAGAAGCTCGCCTTGCGGTTACGGGTGGCTATTCTGACCGGCTTCTCTTCAAGCTGCTTTGAGACGAAGTCTCCTTTTTTAGGCGGCACCCTGAACCTACTGTTGATGGACAAAATCCTGCGTGGTCCTAAGGACTCTAAACTATGGGAATTATGGCATATTCCTTATAATGGGTAATGCAGGATTTTGTCCATCAGCAGCAGTAATGCAATGAAGGGTGCAGAGTTTGGGTTCCTGGTTTCTGGCTGTAGGGCTTCGTTCAGATTCAGGCTGTTGCTGTTTAGAACCCTAAACTCTAAACCATATGGGAGTTTCCGAAAATAGGGGACCCTTAATATAGTAACCTAAATAGTAGGATCCCTATTATAAGGGCCCCAAAATAAGGTTCCCCTAATCTTCGGAAACTCCCGTATGAGCGGTGAATGCAAAGCTGCAACGCTTGCTGCTTGTAAATGCCAATCAAAAGCTTCAAAGCACTTGACAAAGGCAAGCAAGCCTTTATCACACCCTACCATAAACAAGTTCTACGGCCCAAAACCCTAAACCCCAAAGACCTTTAAAGCCCAATAAATTCTTGAAGTGGTAAGTCGGTAAACAAAAGGCTACAGTACCCTTAACCACCATAACTTGCATAACCTATTGTTTCGTGGGCTCGCAGTATGCATCGCAACATAGAACATATGGGGATGGCAGATTCAGGTAGAGCCTACACTCAGAAGTTGTTTCTGCTTCGCAGAATCTTCTTGTCAGCCTGTGCCCGCCCCAAACCCGAAACCCCCAAACCCCAAACCCTAGACCCTAAACCCTAAAACCTAAACCCTCAAAAAGCCCTCACCCTGCACCCTCAGCACTAAGCCCTGAAGCCAAAGCACGAAGCAACCCAGGGCTTCGGTACTTGAAGGATCATGGGACTTAGTAACTAAGGTTATTATTAGGGAAACTATACTTATAACTACTTATAGCCCCAATTAAGGTACTTATAACCATACTTACTAAGTCCCATGATCCTCCAAGTATTCCATCCCACACCTCAAACCCCAACCCTTGCCCCTCAACTCCAAAGCCGATCGGCTTAAAGCCAAACATCAAACATCCGGCAAAATATCCTCGAAATCCTAGCAAAAAAAGACCCCAAACCTTACCAGTCAACCTCCCGCCATGCAATCCTCCGCTCCTGAGACCGTGCTTGAGGGTTTTTGTAGGTTTGGCCGGTTGCTTAGGCGTTTAGGGTGTTGGCTAAAGAAGGGTCTGCATCAGAGCTCAGAGTTTTGCGGGTTTAGGGGTTCAGGGTTTGGGGTTTAGATCGGAGGCCTCAAAAGGTGGGATGAAGGTAGGTAGGATTAAGGATCCCTTATATAAGAAACTCTTATTTGGGAATATCCCACCTACCTTCATCCCACCTTATGAGGCCTCCGATTAGAGGATTTCAAGCAATCTCCCGGCCAGATCTACAGACGGCTTCCTGCACTCTGTGGTGCATCCTTCCTGCTCGGCACCGCCGGCAGTTTTGCTTGCAGGGACCCAGGGTTCAGGAATGTTAGGTAGCTCATAGTAGTTTCTTTGCAATTAGGGTTTAGGGTTTAGGGTTTAGGGTGCAGGGGTACCATAATTCCCATAGTTTAGAGTCCTTAGGGCCATGCAGGATTTTGTCCATCAGCAGTAGCTCATAGTAGTTTCTTTGCAATTGGGGTTTTAAGGGCTTCAGGCTCCAGGGTGTTAGGTTTAGGGTTCAAGGGTTTTTTGTGTGCAAGGGTTTAGTTAAGCAGTTTTAGGGTTTCAGAGTGTAACGTATTCTTTCACGATTTATGATGTAAGGGACATCGGGTCGAGGGCTTTAAGCTTCCAGCCAACTTGCTTAAACGGGTTATTACAAGTTGTAAGTACCTTCGCTAGGGTTGTAAGTAGATATGGTCAAAGCTACCTTCCTTGTAATATAGCACTACCAACTAAGTTCCATAAGCATCATAGTCCTTCAACTAGTCTTCAGCCGTTGAGGTCACTCTTGCAGCTCGAATCCTTAAATTCCGACAAAGCCGGAAACCTTCGAACCTGAATCTCAAGCCTCCATCCTGAAATCCTGAACCGTAACACATGTAGTCCCCATATCCGAAACCCTGCACCCCTAAACCCTAAACCCTAAACCCTAACACCCCTAAAACCCCCAAAGCCTTCAGACCCTAGATCATAAAGCACTTCATGGGCCAGGGGGCAGCTTGGAGTATGTCATGTGCAAGACTGGCTTCTACAATGTGGGGAGCCCGGGCTGTGTGTTGTGTATGATACTGCTGATGGACAAAATCCTGCATTACCCATTATAAGGAATATAACATAGTTCCCATAGCATGTAAGCAGTCAGAGACCTGTCAATACCTTCAGCCATGGTCAAACCCAAAGCATAGGCATCTTACTTGCCCTTCCCCACCCGTCGCAGGTGAACCTTGTGAAGGAGGGCCAGAAGACGGCCAGCTCGAAGGCACGCCCCCTAATTTTATCTTAAGATCTCAGGTTCTAGTCAAGACGGATGAGGGATTACTTACGTTTGACAATTTGGTTAGCAGGGAATGGAGGAATGGGGTACAAGTATAACTACTATTACTACCATTCTTCCATTCCCTACTAACCGAAGGTAAGATTAGGGGTGTCGGTTCCAGGCGGACTGTTGAGGCTCCGTTGTGAAACTTAGTTTTTTTTTTTGAGGGGGGGGGGCGCTTAGCGTTTACTGGTGCATGGATAGCCCAAGGACCCTAACTGACCGCTATAGAACCAAAAAGTCTGAAGCCGAAACTCTAGATTACAAGCCCTTGCTTTGAACTCCTTGATGGATTTCAGCCGCTGGCTGATGGCTTTAGCATGCCCTAAAGCCTATTGCCCAGAGTGCACGCCCCAGCTTCAAAACCCACACTCCAAACCCCTAATCCCTGAACCCTAAGCCCTAAGCCCTAATTAAACCGCAGACCTTAAACCCCAAAGAGCCAAATCCCAAAATCTAGAGACCTATAAAGACTCATTTTAAAAGCTTGAAGAGCTCTTTAGAACGGCAGTTAGGACAAGCTTAATCCTAAACCTTGAAAGGCCCGTTGAAAAGCCGCTTGAAGTCATAAACCCTACATGGGAGTTAGGATTAGGGGGATGCTTGGGGACACAGACCCTCTCAATAAGGCCCGTTTTAAGAGAGCCAGAAGTAGGGTTCAGAAGGGGTACCCATTAAGGGGTCCCCCTAAAATTTCCCCTAATGATACTACCCACTACAGTTCCCACGGTTGAAGCCCGGGCTGGTGCAAGGAACAGCAGGGTTCCACATTCCACGATCGAAGCCCCAAGGAGGGTGTCGCTTTTAGGATT